GCGCACGCGTCGATGCGGAGTCCGAACTTGAAGGCGCGATTGTCGAGTTATAGAGAGGAATTTCGGGCGGTGTGGCGCGGGTACGCCGAGGCGTGACGCGATGTAAAATTATTGTGCTGGCCGAAAAATTTATCGCCGCGCCGGTGACTCATCACCTCGTCTTCAGAGCGGCGCGCGCGATGACCTCGTCCGCGACGCCGCTCTGCGCGTCGCGCGCGGTCAGCGGCGCCTCCGCGTCGACGTCCTTCGCGCGCGCGCGGTCCCTCCGACCCCGCCGCGCCGCGCGAATCCGCGCGTCGGCGTCCGCGGCGGACGACGCCGCGGACGCCGCGGACGCCGACGACGTCGGCGTCCGCGTCGGGGGCTCACACTTCGACCGACTCGTCGAGCGCCAGGCTGGGAAGTACGCCTCGCCGCTGCGCGAAGACGAGACGTCCGCGGCTCTGGACGCGTTCTGGGCGTCGCGCGGCGTGCGCGAGCAAGCGTACCGCGCGCGGCTCGTGAACATGGGAACCTCGCTCGCGTCGAACGTCGCGGAGCGGGATCTGTACCGCAATCCCGATCGAATCGGGCACTCCCTCGACCGACTCCAGCGGCTCTTCCCCAAGGTCAACGTCGCGGACATGATGTGGAAAGAACCGGAGGTGCTCAGACTGACCCTGCGCGACGCCGCGGCGCAGATGACCGCGCTTCGGTTCGCGCTGCCCCCGGACGCGGACCTCCCGAAGCTCGTGAGCGCGCAGCCGGGGCTGCTTCTCGCGGACGTGCGCGCCGTCGGCGACGCGTTGAAGGCGCTCGCGGAGGAGTTCCCGCGCGTGGACGTCGGGAAGGTGGTCCAGACCGAACCGAGCCTGCTCACGGAGAGCTGCGACGTCTTAGGGCGCCTGAAGCGGCTGCGGCGCGTCGTGGAGACCCGCGGCGGGGTCCCGCCGCCGTCGATGGCCATCTTCTACGACGGCGGGCCGGGGTGTTCCAACCCGACGTTATTCGCGAAGGTGTTCTTAGAGGAGACCAGAGGGGACGGCGAGGCTTTCCACCGTCTTTCCACCCCGTACGAGAGCGACACGCGTGGGGATGAAGCGCGCGGCGCGTTTCGGCGCGGCGCGCGCGCGTGTAGACTACGGCGCGCGTCCCCGCGACGCGCATTACATAGCTAGGAGCTAATCTACGATGCGACGTATTAGAGAGTACAGCGCGCGAAAGGCGACGTCGGACGTCGTCGTCACGCGCCCCCGGCGACGAGGCTCCCGTACCCCCCCGACCGCGTCCCTCCGCGGTCGTTATGGTCTCCGCCAAAACCGCCGCCGGGGCGGGGGCAGGGCCCGCGCATGAATATGTTCCTCACGTCCCCGCACGTCTTCCCTCTGATCACGCTCGAGCATATCCCGCACGCGAACGCCCCCGCCATCGCGCACGCCGCGGTGACGGACGGAATATCTCGGCCGAAGACCCCCATGCACATGTCGACGCCGACCATGACGAGCACCGCGGAGACGGAGTAGTTCAAGTCCGGGAACACGTCCACGGTCCCCGCGAGCTGCGGGTACAGCGCGCGCATCATGCACGCGGCGACGACGTCGCCGAGGTATAACGTCAAGACGTGATGGTGCTCGAGCTCGAACACCGTGGACACCGAGTCGACGCAAAAGCTGCCGTCGAAGAGCTCGACGACGCCGACGCAGAGGAGCATCGGCGTGAGCGCGATGACACCTCGCTTCGTCCGCGTGACGAACGCGCTGCCGTCGTACGTCGTCATCCTGGACTCGCAGCCGCAGACGCGCGCGCACGCGCGCGCGATCTGCTCCCCGCCGTCGCCGTCGCCGCCGTCTTCTTCGTCTTCGTCGTCCTTCGTAGTGACCGCTTCGTCGTCGCCGCGCGTATCATTCGTCGTCCGCGCCAGACGGAGATGCCGAAGCACGAGGAGGCCCTGGCACGCGATCCCGACCCCGACGACGAACATCAGCGGCCGAATCTTGTAATACACCTCGTCGAGCGCGAAGAATATCAGCGCTCGGATCGCGAACAGGATCGGCGTCCCCGCGAGCAGTATCCCCGGCCTCGTCTCTCTCGGGACGCCGAACCAGTCGAAGAGACGAAGGAAGAGGCACACGTTGTCCACGGACATGAGCACCTCGACGAAGAACGCGTCGTAGAACGACCGGTGGCTCATCGCGCTGGACTCTAAGCCGATCACGACGACGCCGCCGGCCACGTCCCGGCGCGTCGGCAGTCCTCGCCGCACGTGTCGCCGCCGGTTCGATCCCCGCCGCCGCCTCCGACGACGTGGACGAGCGTCCCGTTTATGAGGTAGTCGATATGGTCTCCGTGCGGGACCGCGTCCGCGCGCGCGCGGAGGAGGAACGCTCGCGCTTCCTCCGGGTCCGCGGGGATGCCGAGCGCGAGGCACTGCTCCGCGGTCATGGGATCTCGCGAGATGGCGCGCGTGCCGTCCGCCGCGCGCGCGTTCGCGCGCAGCGTCGTCGGCGTCCACGCGCCGTCCTTCCCTCGGACGACGAGCTGCCCTTCGACGAGGTACGCCTCCTTGCGCGCGCCGTCGCCGTCGCCGTCGCCGTCGTCGTCGTCGTCCGAAGCCCCGAGATCTCGCGAGGCGACGTGCAACACCGTCGGGTCGACGCACAGGCCTTGGCTCACGCACGGGGCTTCGAATTCGCAGCCGCTGCACACGGCGGCGCTCGAGGGGACGCCGCCGCCGCCGCCGGGCGGGGCGTCGGAGGACATCGCGCTCGCCGCCTCGCGTTATGACCCGCGACTCATCAGCGACTCAACTTACCCGTCTTCTTTGAAAAAGGTGACGAGGCTGAGTTATTTTTCGCAAAACCCCAGGCTGGAGCATTTTGTGTGGCTATTGTCGTCTCTCGTGATTTGGTAAGGATTTGGTCTACCTCCTACACCAATCACGAGGTATGTCTATTTTAGACCAATCCGCGGCCGTGACTGGAGCGTAGCGACCCCACATTTCTTAGATTTTATTAAACTTTCAAACCTATTCTCGCTGACCCGACGCGACGATCGCGATCTCGCGCTGGCCGCGCCGCGCGCCTGCCGAGATCTCGTTTTTGTGCGCGAGCGCGACGCGCCGGCCGCGCACTCGACCTCGCGGCGTCGTCGACGCGTCGGCTCGCGCGAAGACTCGCATCATGGGCGGCCCGATGGGCGGCAGCTCCGCGCCGCTCGCGCCGGAGAAGGGCGTCTTCCCCTTGGACCACTTCGGCGAGTGCAAAAAGACGATGCGATCGTACCTGAGCTGCCTGAAGAGGCACGGCAACGACGCGTCCGCGTGCCGCGAGCTCTCGAGGGCGTACCTCGCGTGTCGCATGGACCGCGAGCTGATGTCGCCGCAGCCGCTCGAGGAGCTCGGGTTCTCGAAGGAAGACGCCACGCCGGGGGGGAAGCGGCGGGGGAAGCGAGGGGGGAAAGGAGAAGAGGACGAAGACGCGACGCGAGCGGCGAGGGCGGAGGCGGCGGCGAAACCGCAGGGAGGATTCGTCGGCGGCATGAAGCACGTGGAGGGGCAGAAAACGGAACGACGAACGCGGCGGATCGGAATTTTCTAGCCAACCTTCGAGTAACACTAGTCCTAGAATATAATAGACGCGCTAGCTAGATGAGGCTCGCGACGTCGTCGCCTTCCGCGATGGCGCCCGCGACGGGCGTCCAGTCGCCGCCTCCGCCGCCGCCGTCGCCGTCGCCGTCGTCGCCGCCGCTCGCGCGCCGCGCCTTCGCGACCTGCGCGGCCTCGCTCCCCATCAACTCCGCGGCGGTCGCGGCGGCCATCCTCACGTCGCCGCTCCGCGCGTCGCGAAACTCGCGAACGAACGGCTCCGACGCCGCGCCGATCGGCCACCACGTCGACCGAGGCACGAAACACGCCGACGCCGCGAGCTCGATGAGCGCGTCGTGTCTCCCCGCCACCTCCGCGAGATTCCCGTTCCCCCAACCCGCCGGGTCCTCGCCGTGGTCGCGGCACATGTCGCGGAAGCGCGTCTGCGCGCGATAGACGTGGTCCAGCGCGACGACCGCGGCGTCGAGCTCGGAGTGCAACGCGGGGGGACCCGCCGCGGCGACGCCGACGGAGCGCTCGGAGCTCGCGCCCGCCTTTTGCGCCGCGCGCAACGCGGCGTAACACTGCAGCCGGAACGGCTCGCCGCTTCGAATCCCCACGGTTAACAACGCCTTGACCGCGGCGGCGCGCGTCGTCCACGACGGCGACAGCAGAAGCGCGCGCGTGAGCGCGTGGATCGCGCGCGAGAGCGGCGGGTGCCGCGCCGCCGCCGATATCGCGCCGCCGACGCCGCCCGAATACGCCACCAGCGCGTCCGCCGTCGTCGTCGTCTCCACTTGCCAGCTGTACTCCCCGGCGTCGTGGTTCGCGTTCTCGCCGAGGTGCCACACGATCGCGGCCTCGAGCGCGTGCGCGCCGTGCGCGCGCGCCGCGGACGCGAGCGCGACGGCGCCGGCGAGGCACTTCTCCCGCGCGCTCGCGCGTTTTCTCGCGCCCTTTTGCGCCGCCTTAGGGTCGTTCCATACAAAGCGACGTCGGGGTGGAGTTAAAAGACGTCAGGTGGAGTTGAAAGGCGTCGAGGTCGGGGATTGAAAGCGAGGGACCCTGGGCGGAGAGAGACGACGGCAAATGTCCTTAAGGATCGGCGTTCACCCCGCCAACGCGGTCGTATGGGAACCAGTGTATAGAACGCGCCTTCAACACGTCCAGCGCCGCGCTCGCGGGCGCGGTCTTCGGGCCGACGGCGACGACCGCGCGCGCGCCGTCCATCGTCATCCTCGCCCACGCGACGGCCTCGCTCTCGTCCACGCAGCACAGCGTCGTCGCCGCGCGGTCCGCGATCGCGCGGAGGAGACGACGCTGCGGCTCGGCGCCGCGCCACGCGCCGCCGACGCAGCCGCCGCCGTCCGTCTCCGGCGTCGCCGGCGGCGCGTCGAAGTACGCGTCCGTCGTCGCCCATAACCCGCCGCCGCTGCTGAGATTCTTGCGGACGACGCGCTCGTGGACGTCGACTAAGAAGGTGGGGGTTTGCAGCCAGAGTAACGCTCGGAGGGCTTCCGTTCGGACGCCGCCGCCGACGGACAACGCCGCGGCGACGTGCTCGAGCGAAATCGCGAGCGACGACAGCTGCGTCTTCTCGCCGACGACGCCCGTCGCGCTCGCGTGCCCGGCGGCTCGCGCGCACGCGCGCGCCTCGCCGATCGCCGCGGCGGCGCGGCACGCGGTCGCGATCGTCGCGCCGCCGTACCTCGGCTGGTTGAGGACGTCCCGCACTCGTTTCACCGCCGCGGCGAGCGCGGGGGGGTCGCCGCCCGCCGCGGAGCCCCCGCCGCCCCGGCACATCGCGGTCCACGCCGCGGCCCTCGCGGCCGCGCCCGCGTCCGTGCCCCTCGGCGCGTTCGACGCGCACAGTCCCTCGACCGCGGCGAGCGCGGCGCGCGGAGGGATCGGTCGATCAGACGAGCCGCCGCCGCCGGACGACGACGACGCCTTCGACGGCGACTTCATCGGCGACGGAGATTTCGCGTCGCCGCCGCCGCCGCCGCCGCTCTCGCCGCCGCCGCCGCCGCCGCCGCCTAACCCGTCGTGCTTCATGATCGCGGCCAGGATGATCTCGCACGCCCTCGAGCACGCGTCCGGCGGCGCGTCCGGGTCGTTCCCGTTCCCGTTCCTCTCCGCGAGCGCCCTCGCGCGCAGGGTCCCGCACAGCCTCGCGAGCGCCGCCGCCGTCGCCGGCGTCTCCGCGTAGACGGCCGCGCCGCTCCTCTCTTTCCCCAACGCCCGCTTCGCCTTCGCGGCCGCGTTCTTATCATCCGCGTCCACCGCGTTCTTATACTCCGTCGCGGCCTGTTTCCAGTGCTCGACGTCCGCGACGGTGGCGTTCAGCGCGGGGAGCAGCGCGCGCGCGAGGTTTGCGTGCGCGGCGGCGGGCTCCGCCGCCGACGCGACGGCGGACGCCGTCGACAACGCGTGCCTCGCCGCGATCGGGTCGCCGATCGTCACCGCGGTCGCGAGCGCGACCGGGGTGGGCAGCGCGTTCAGATCGATCGGTTGCGACGCGGAGTAACGCAGCAAGATTCGGCGTTTCGCGCCCAACGCGGCTCTGGCGCCGGCGTTGACGGCGCCGCCTTTGAAAATGATCTTTTTCTTGCTCCCGCCCTTCGGATCCTTGCCCACCGCGAACCGCTCGATCGCGGCGGCGCACGCGGAATCGACCGCGTCACTCGCGCCGCGGACGCCCGCGCGCGCCGCGGACGAGAGCGCTCTCGTGGCGAGTATCTGCCTCGCGCCCTTGCGCTCGCTCGCGTCCTTCGCGAGCGCGGTCACGATCGCGTCCGCGTCGGCGTCCGGCAGCGCGCGTCCGTAGTGCTCGCACGCGCGCTGGACGAGATAGTACGCGTATCGTATCGCGTACCGCTCGGAGACGGCGCCGTCGGGCGACAGGAGCGACAGGAGCGTCGGGATCGCGGACGTGGACGTCGCGCCGTGCGACGCGACGCGAGGGAGCGTTCGCGCGAGGAGATCCTTCGTCGCGTGCTTGTGCGTCTTGTGCGCGTCCGACGCGGTCAGGTCCACGAGCTCGCGCTCGAGCTCCTCCGGCGCGGGGACGCCGCCGAGGCGCGCGGAGACGTACGCGGACGGGCCGGGGGGGCGGACCGGCGCCGGCGCCGCCATCGCGAGACCACTCCGGGTGCGCCCGCGCGGTGGGCGCGCGAAATGGAAGAGCCACGACAGCGCTTGTGCCGAGTTTGAATCGTTGTAACGCCCGCCCGTCCGATATCCGAGAACTTTCATCGGCAAAAAAAAAGTTCACCGGTGGAGTTGAAACCAAAAAGCAGCAAAAACCTTCCGTCACTGGGGATTCCCGGGCGATTCCTCAGCCTAGTACTAATCCAGCCCAACCGTGCTTAAGTTCGATGTTCCGATGGGTATCGCTGTTCTCACGGTGGTATGAACGGAAGATACCCCCGTAGAACCCCCTCCGTATATTTACCCAAATTTGAGGTCTGACTTCGACTTATGGGTCGCGATTAATTATTTTATTTTTTGGGTCGAGGATGTTTCGGCACTTCCCGCGTTTTCCCTCTCGCAGCGAGGCCGCGCCACTCTCTCCGGGCGCCCTCCCTCGCCGCCCCGCGCCGGCCATGGAAGCGATGCACGCCGCCGAGGTTCGCACGCTCTCGAAAGAGATCGAGCGCCTGCGGCAGTACGCCGCGCGTCTCATCGTCCACAACGACTACCTCCTCAAAGTCAGCGGCGCGGCGGCGAAGACGAGCCCCGCGAGACGACCGCGACCGGAGGCGCCGCCGTCGCCGTCGCCGTCGCCGCCGCCGCCGCCGCCGCCGCCGCCGCCGCCCGCGGCGCTCGCGTCGACGCGCGCCGCCGCGCTCCCGCAGATCCCCCCGCCGTGGCACCACCCGTCCCCCGCCCCGCCCGCGGAGGGCACGAACGCGGCGTCGAAGCTCTCGCTCCAGACCGAGGTGTTGCTCGCGAAGATAGACGACCTCTCCGAGAGCGCGCGCGCGACGTCCGCGCTGCTGCGTCGCATCCTCGCGCGCGCGACCGCGGAGACGAGCGCGCTGCCGACGACGACGCTGAACGCGCTGACGCGCGGGCCGGAACGCGACGCCGCGGCGACGACGCGCGCGCTGGCGACGTTGACCGACGCGGTCGAGCGCGCCGCGAGAGGCGGCGAAGGAGGAGGAGGAGACGACGACGACGACGACGACGACGACGACGACGCGGCGGCGGCGGCGCTCGCGATCAAGACCGACCTCGCGGCCGTCCTCGCGCACGCGTCCGTGGTGAACAACAACATCGCGCAGCTCGTGCAGGTCGCCGCGATCTTAGAGGTGGCGTCGAGCGCGCTGGCGATCGCGGCGAACGACGCGGAGAGGGACCAGAGAGACGTGCGGGCGACCGCGGAGGCGCTGCGGCGTCGGCTGGCCGAAGCGACGAAGAAGACGAAGACCGAAACCAAAACCACCGACGCGAAGCGGCGGCGCGCGGAGAAGAACGACGACGATTCGTCTTCCTCGGCGGACGACGGTTCGGGATCTGAATCGTCGTCGTCCAGCGAGTCGACCCCGCCGCCGGACGGCAAACGACGCAGGCCGAAGACGTCGTCGCTGCTCACCGCGATGAAGCTCAAGGAACGGCGGAACCCGTACTGACCGACGCCGCGCGATATCGCGCGCGTCGTCGTGATATCGCGCGATAGATGACATCGTGCACACTGCTACTACTACGTGACCTACTTTCGCGATCGACGACCGCGTCTACGGACGCCTCCTATCTCTGCTTTCTCGCCACTCCGCGGCGGCGGGCAACGCGGACGCGAGAACCAAAATCCCGCCCCCCGCCGCGACGTCCGCCCCTATCGCCTCGCCGAGAAAAACGCACGAAACTAACGCGTTAAACACCGGAGTCGTCGCGAATATGACCTGCGCCTCTGCCGCGGGGACGACGGACTGCCCTTTCGTCTGTAAGTACGTCGCGAGCGCGCCGGGGGCGAGCGCGCTGTACGCCACGGCGGCCCACGCGGCGACGAACCCGACCCCGGCGGGGGACCACAGCACGCCACGTGTCAGGGTCCCGGAGACGTCCCCGAGTTCGCCGCCGCCGCCGCCGCCGCTCACCGCGACGGCTGCCTCGATGAGCGCCCATGCGACAAATAACGCCCCCATGACGGCCGTTTTAACCGCCGCGAGCTCGGACGCGTCCGCGGCGCTCGCGAACTTCCCGAGCCGCACGGTGAACGCCGCGTACGCCACCGCGGCGATCAACACGTACGCGTCGCCCGCGTTCAAACCGGCGGCCGCGATCGAATCGATCGAGGGATCGATCGAGTCTAACGCGGCGCCAGCTCGCGTTTGATCGTGATCGCTCCAATGGATGGGCACCGGGAGCGCGTCCGAGACGACGCCGACGCCGAGCGCCGCGAGCGCGCACGCGGCCCAAACCGCGGGCGAAACCGTCTCCCCGCTGAGATACGAACCGACCGGGACGAGGACGTTGATCGTCGCGAGGAGAAACCCCGCGCGCGTGGACGTCGTCTGCTCCAGGCCGTACGCCTGCGCCGCGGTCCCGACGCAGTTTAAGACGCCGAGCTCGACGCCGGCGCGGAGAAGCGACGGCGCCGCGGTTTCGGCGACGTCGGCGGCGATCGGCGCGTCGTCGGCGTCGTCCGCCGTCGCTTCTCCCCCCGCGCCGCCGTCCTCCTCTTCCTCGTCGCGCGCCGCGAGGAGCCGCGACAGCGCTCCCGCGAACGGCGCGAGGCTTATGAGCGTTCGAACCGCGGACAGCTGCGCCGGCGACGGCGGCGCCGCGCTCTCGTAGATGAACCGCACGGACGGGTTGTACGTCGCCCACAGCAGCGGCACGGCAAGGAGCAGCGCGCGACCGGCGGGCGCGGAGAGCGATGATGAGGAGCTCGGGACGCTCGGCGTCGTCGCCGGCGCCGCGACGCCGTTCACGGCGGCGGCGTCGTCCGACTCCCGGGACGCGCGAGCGACGCCGCCGCCGCGTCGACGTCGTCTCGGAGACGGCACGTCGGACGCGACCGCGAAAACCGCGTGCGCGCGTCCGGCGCGCGACGTCGACGCGCGCGTCGACGCGGACGTCGACGCGCGCGCGCGCGGGATGGCGCGCGCGCGCGCGCGCGTCGACGCGACGACGCGCGGCGCGCCGTGGCCGGCCACGGCGCGCATGGCTATGACCGAGAACAGACCTGACCCGAGTACCCGAGGTGCGCGGAGCCAGTTTTTCACCCAAAGCAAAGCTCGGTTTCAACATTTGATCGCTTCCCGTTTCAACTGACCGATGAAGTTCTCAGGATTGTTATCGGCCTCAGTGGCAGTCTGGCAGACGACGGCCCTTTCTGTTCGTCGCGAAGAGACGCGCGACGCATTGGAAGGTCGCGCGCGACGACGACGCCGTCGGCATTGTCGCGCGACCGCGCAGACGCACGCCAGCGCTCGATCTTCTCGCGTCTGAATCGCGCCCGACGCGCGCGCGATCGATCCGGAACGCGCGCGCGAGAGCACGGCGAAGCGCCGGTTCGCGCCGAGGCACTTCCGCATTATTATTCCAGTCGCGCGTCCTCTCGAGAGGGCGGGAACGACACATCGCGTCTCGGACGTCTCGAAGACACCCTCGGTCGTCGTCGCGAGTCGCGCGTCGCCGCGGCGAGAAGACGCCCGCCGTCGCGTCGGGTGACCCCTAGGGGAGGCGCGCGCGGGGAGGCGCGCGGAGGGCGGTCGCGCGCGCGCCTCGTCCGCCAGTCGCGAGAAGGAGGGCGCCCTCACGAGGCGAATTCACAAGAGCGCGAGCGCTCAGAGGAGGAAGAACTTAATAATCACGATGTCTGCTTCCGCGTCGACCGCGTTCGCGAAGTACGACGCCGCCTCCGACGCCGCGCGCGCGGCGTCGTCCGCGTCCCCGAGCGCGTCGGCGTCGTCGACCGGCGGCAGCCGCGTCCTCGCGAACGCGACCGTCTTGCTGAGCGACGCGTACAAGCGATGCAACCCGAGCTTCGGATACACCCCCGCGATCAACCCTCGACGGCAGCTCACGAAACCGTCCAAGCCGTGCGGGAACGACGGCCACGACAACGAGAACCAGGACCTGATCATAAGCGTGAACGACGTCCTCGCCGCGGACGACGGGTCGAGCCCCGCGTTCGTCGTGACCGACGTCCTGGGGAGCGGAACGTTCGGGCAAGTGGTTCGATGCCGCGAGAAGGGCGGCGCCGGCGTCTCCGCGGCTGTCAAGGTGATCAAGAACCATCCCGCGTACTTCCACCAGGCGCACGTGGAGATTGGGATCCTGCACATGCTGAACCAGGAGTGCGACCAGAGGGACGAGAACCACATCGTGCGGATGCTGTCGCACTTCGTGCACCGCTCGCACCTCTGCATCGTCTTCGAGGTGCTAAACATCAACCTGTACGAGTTGCTGCGCCAGAACAAGTTCAAAGGGCTCGCGATCGGGCTCGTGAGGGTGTTCGTGTCGCAGCTCCTCGACGCGCTGCGGGTTTTACGGCTCGCGAACGTCATACACTGCGACTTAAAGCCGGAGAACATCCTGATCAAGAACATCGAGACCGCGGAGATCAAGCTCATCGATTTCGGCAGCGCGTGCTTCCAGAACCGCACGGTGTACCAATACATCCAGTCGCGGTTTTACCGCTCCCCGGAGGTCGTCCTGGGGTCGCCGTACGGGATGCCGATCGACGTGTGGAGCCTGGGCTGCGTCGCCGCGGAGCTCTTCCTCGGGCTGCCGCTGTTCCCGGGCGCGAGCGAGTATAACCTTCTGACGCGGATGTGCGAGACGTTGGGCCCGCCGCCGTCGTCGATGCTCGCGTCGGCGGCCAACGCGCACAAGTTTTTCAAGAAGAACGAGTCGACGGGAGGAGGCGCGACCGCGACGGGGGGGCTCTCCGCGGCGATCGGCGGCGGCGGCGGCGATTCGTACGAGTTGTACACCTTGGACGAGTACGAGCAAAAGTCCGGGAAGAAGGTGGCGATGGGGAAGCGCTACTTCAAGCACACGCTCTTGAACGACGTCGTCCACGGCGCGCGGATGTCCTCGAGCGCGTCCGAGGAGGCGCAGATGAAAGAGCGCGCGGACCGCGCGTCGCTGCTCGATTTACTTCACGGGCTGCTCGACCTCGACCCGAAGACGCGGTGGACGCCGGACCAGGCGAAGGCGCACCCGTTCGTCAGAGACGCGCCGTTCGCGGGGCCCGGGAGTTTCGTCCCGCCGCCGCCGGAGGAGGTTTGCGTCGCGAAGGAGGTCCAGGCCGCGCGCGAGCAGGCGGCGGCGAGGGCGGCGGCGTCCGTGACGAAGCGGGGACCCGCCGCCGCCGCGACAGCGGCGGCGGCGGCGGAGCCGGAGCCGGAGCCGGAGCCGGCGGCGGAGGAGCCGCGGACGCCGGAGCGCGCGACGGCGGCGCCGGCGGCGACGAGCGGCGGGCTCGCCGCCGCGCTCGCCGCGTCGTCCTCCGGGTCGGACCCCGCGGCGGCGCAGATTCAAGCGCAGATCCAAGCGCAGGCGGCGTTTTTGCAGCAGCAGCAGCAGCAGCAAGCGGCGGCGATGGCGGCGCAGCAGGCCGCGTCGTTCTCCGCGGGGTCGTTCACCGGAACCCCCGGTTCGTACGGCTCGTCGATGTCCAACTTCAGTCAGTACGGCGTGTCACCGCACGCGATGAACAGCGCGGCGTTGCATCCGTTGCACTTCGGTCAGTCCCCGCCGTCGAGCGCGATGTCCGCGATGGTGTTCGCGGAGGGGATGCAGCACGCCGCGGCCGCCGCGGCCGCCGCCGCGGTGCAGCTCCCGACGCTGATGCAAGGCTCGCCCGCGAACGCCGCCATGCAGTGGGGGTTCCACCCGCCGGCGATGCCGCCCCCCGCGTTCGGCGGCGGCGGCGCGCCGGGTCCTCTCGACGCCAACGCGCTCGCGCGGCGGCAGCACGACCAGATGATGCGACGGAGCAGCGTCGGCGCGGGCGGGAACGGCTGGGCCGGGCCGCACGCGCAGAGCGCGCCGAGAGTCGGCGGCGGCGGCGGCGGCGGCGGCGGCGGCGCGTCGACGCACGCCGCGAGTCCGAACGTCGTCCGCCGCGTCGGGTTCAACGCCGGCGGGAGCCCGTCCTCCGCGCGCGGGAGGCGCTCGCCGCGGGCGACGCCTCCCGGGTCGTTCAAAGAGGGCTCGCTGTCGCAGACGCGCGGGTACATGCTGAATAAGGTGGACGAGGACGGGGACGGGGACTCGTCCGCGATGGAGTACGACGACGCGAGCAGCGGCGGCGCGCCGGCGGCGGGCGGCGGCATGGGCGACAGGAGAGGCAGCAGAGAGGCGATGGACGCGGTGGATCCCTCGGACTGGGACCCGAACTTCGCGAACATGCTCGACGGGGAGCAGCGGGGGGGGATGGCGTCGTCGCCGGGTCATCATGTCGGGGTCGGGGGCGGGATCGGGATACCGGGCGCGGCGCGAGAGCAGCCGCGGCGGCACGACGCGGGCGGCGGCGGCGGCGGGGGCGGGGGTCCCGGAGGCGCGACGCGGACGCAACACTACAGCGCGAGCGCGCCGAAGTGGACGTCGTCTGGGATGACCGGCCGACAACACCCTCCCGGAGCGGCGTTCGGGATGGGGCAGCAGCCCATGGGTCCCCCCGGCGACTTCCCCGGGTTCAACCCGAACCCGCCGCCGATGCACCCGATGGCGTTTCATCAATTCCAACAGCAGCAGGCGCGTTCTATACACCGGTCCCCATACGACCGCGTCGGCGTGGTGAACGCCGATCCTTAAGGACTTTTGCCGTCGTCTCTCTCCGCCCACCCCTCGCTTTCAATCCCCGACATCGACGCCTTTGAACGCCGATTGACGCCTTTCAACTCCACCCCGACATCGCTTTGTATGGAACGACCCTCAGCAGATGGCGGCGGCGGCGATGCAGCAGCAGTTCGCCGCAGCCGCGGCGATGGGCGCGCCGATACCTCCCGGGGGGTGGCCGCCCGCGCACATCGACGCGCAGGGCGGGTTCGCGAACGGCGCGGCGCCGCCCGGGGGGTTATCGCTCGCGGGGTTGACCGCGCAGCCGGCGAACAGGCGGCGGAAGGCGGGGGACGGGACCGGCGAGGAACCTCATCAGCGACGGTGAGGACGCCGTCGTCCCGTCGTCGCTCCGTTTGTTTGTAACACCACCAACACCACTCGTTTTACACGTCACGTCTACCGTGTCGTTAACATTATTTCCTACTGTACGCTACGCGCGCTACTTTAAGTCGTCGAAGAGCTCGTCTAAGAACTCGTCGTCCGAGCGCTGCGGCGGCGGCGGCGGCGGCGGCGGCTTCGACGAAGGTATCCCCAGCAACTCGTCGAGTTCGTCGTCGCCCTCCGCGACGACGCCGCTTCCACCTCCTCCTCCTCCACCTCCTCCGCCGCCGACGTCGTCTCCAGCGAGGAGCGCGTCGATGTCGTCGTCGTCGTCGGCGGCGGCGGCGGCGGCGGCGGCGGCCGGCGGCGGCGCGAAGGACGCGACCGCGGCGACGTCGGTCGTCGCCGCGCTCTCTTCGACTCCCCTCGGAACGATCACGTCCTCGTCCTCCTCCTCCTCCTCCTCCTCGTCCTCGACGCGCTCGCCGTGGTAATCCTCGGGCAGCCCGAGCAGCTCCGCGAGCGGCAGCACCGCGAGCTGCCTCGCGAGCGCGTCCGCGTCTATCGCCGCGGCGTCCATCCCCCCCGACCCGGCGCCGCCGCCCCCCGACGCCATCGCGCGCTCGAGCTCGCGCAGGTCGTCGACGCCCCATCGCGGGTCCAGGTACGCGCTGAAGTGCTGCCGCGGCAGCGCCGCGCGGTCGCACTCCGCGAACAGCGTCTCGAGATCCAAGCCCGCGGACTTGAGCCTCGGCGTCGCGCCGTCGCCGCGCGCGTCGTCGTCGGAGGACGTCCAGTCCTCCGTCCGACGCGGTCGCGGTCCGGCGACGTCGTCATTGTCGTCGTCGTCCTCCTCCTCCTCCTCCTCCTCCTCCGCCGCGTCCCTCGCCGCGCCGCCTCTTCCGCGCCCGGGTCCGCGGCCGCGGCCGCGGCCGCGCCCGCCGCGGTGCTGCTTGAACTTCGCGCGCGCGAGGTCCTTGCTCGTGCCCTCCATCGCGCGGCGTCGGACTGACCATCTGGATGCGTGGTGGGATGACGGACGCGCGTGTTTCGAAAAATTCATTTCAGTCCGTCAGAAGCGCACGCGAACGACGCGACGAGCCGCCTTCGGTTATGATACATGCCTACGGTGCTCTCACAACTACGGACCTACGTCTTGCGATCCCGACCCCGACGCCAACGCCGACCCTACGACCCCGACCCCGACCCCGACCCGGAAGAAGAAGAAGAGGAAGAGGAAGAGGAAGAAGACGACGACGACGACGACGACGCCTTCTTTTTCTTTTTCTTCTTCCCGCCGCCGTCGCCGCCTTCGCCGCTCCGCCCGCGTTTCCCGCCGCCCTCGTCGCGTCCGCTCGCCGCGTTCGCGTTCGCGTTCACGTCGCGGTAGTACCCTGGTCCGTGATCTCCACTCTTGAACACGTACCCAGGTCGCGCGCCCTGGAACGAACGCATGTGGATGAACGCGGGGCCGGCGCCGTCGGTCGGCGGCGGCGCCGCCGCCGCGGCGGCGGCGGCCGCCGCGTCGTCGCCGTCGCCCGTCGTCTTTCCCTCCTTCGCCTCCGCCTTCGCCTTCGACGCCTTCTTCTTCTTCTTCTTTTTATTCTTATCCGACGAAGACGACGAAGAAGAACTAGAAGAAGAAGAACTAGACGAAGACGACGAGCTCGAAGACGACGAGGAATCCGATCCGCTCGAAGAGCTCGAAGAACTCGAGGACGAACTCGAAGAGGACGAGCTCGAGCTCGAGCTCGAGCTCGAGTCGCTCCCGCCCTTTCGCCGCTTCTTGCTCCCCTTCACCTTCCCGATGATCGCCGCTCTTCGCTCCTTCTCCTCTTTCCGTAGGTCCGGCGGCTGATCCGCGGCGTCCGCGAATCGCTGCCGAACCTTTGGATTCTTGAGCTGCGCCGTCCGCGACGGCCGAGAGACGTACACCCGCGACGACGCGTCCTTGCAGCACTCGAACGTCCACTTGCCGAACTTGAGGCATCGCTGGCACTGCGGGCGGCCGCCGGCGCCGGCGGCGGTGCCCGCGCCTCCGCCGCCGCTCGGACGCGCGCGCCACATGATCGCGGCGGTCGAGCTTTACCGCCCCAGTAGCGTCGGTTCGTTGCCGCTACCGCTCGTCGCGATCCGATCGTTCGATCGTTCGTTCGTTCGTTCGCGCGACCCCGGTCCGTCCTCGCGACGACGACGCGGAGGAGGAAGCGCGCTCGACGATCGAGCGGCGCGCGCGCTGATCCTATCCGAGAACCGATGCGAGGTCGCGACGTCGATCGCGCGTCGTGGTGTGGACGGCGGCGCGAGAAGGCGGGACTATGTACCTTCTCAAAAGTCAGTGCAGTCGTCGTACTGGTCGGCGGCGGCCGGCGGGCGAACTTCATCTTCATCGGGTGCGCCGATCTGGACGCTTCGTCCGTCGCCGCAGAGCCCTCCGCGCGCCCATCACGCGCGATGGCGGAGCTGTCTCGCGTGCGCGGCGCGGACACGGACGACCAACTCCTCGAGCTCCAGCGCGCGTTCCTCGCGAGCGAAGAACAGCGCGCGAGCGTGCGCGTGACGAGGCAAGGCGGCGCGCCCCCGCTCGAGCCGGGCGCGCAGGAGGCGAAGGCGGAGGAGGGCGACGCCGCGGACGCGGAGAAGGCGTCCTCTTCGGACGCCGCCGCGGAACTCCGCGGCGGCGATATCGGCGGCGATGCCGGCGGCGATGCCGGCGGCGGCGCGGCGTCGGACGGCCCGGGGTACACGCTGAGCAACGTCGTCGGCGAGATCGTCGAGCGACCGCGGAGGTCGACGCCGGCGAAACCTCCGTCGTTTCCGACGCCGACGCCCGGCGCGGACGCCGCGCTCGGACGCCCCGCGGCGATGCACCGCTCGAAGGGGCCGTTCGCGGGGAGGAAGAGCGCGTTCGCGATGAGACGCGAGGCGCAGCGCGCGGCGGCGGCGATATCGGCGGCGGGCGGCGGAGGGGGAGGCGACGCCGCGTCGAATGCCTCGCCGTCGCCAGCTGTGTCGTCGTTGTCGGCGGCGACGCGGCGCGCGCCGGACGCGGAGGGCGCGGGCGTGGAGGAAGAGACGCGACGGCGGCTGGAGTCGATGTCCGTGAAAGAGATCGAGGACGCGCGCGCGGAGCTGGAGTCGCGCCTGTCCCCGTCGGCGCTGGCGTTCCTGAAGAACCGACGCGCGGGGGCGGCGGGCGCGGCGAACGCGCCGCGGGCGCCGCCGGCGACGGCGCCGAAATCGCAGGCGGCGCCGAAATCGCCGCCCCCCGCGGACGACGCGCCGACGGAAGCGCCCGTCTTCTCCGGCGTGACCGCGGAGGCGCTGCGCTCGGTCACGAGCGCCGTGAACGCGCGCGCGCCGGACGCCATCATCACGGCAGCGTCCACGCGGTACGCGCTCGACGGCACCGCGCTGAGCGCGGAGGCCCACGCCGACGCGAGCGCGCTCGCGAACGCCGCCGGCAGCGCGGTGACGCGCGACCCGCTGCGCGCGGACGGCGCGGACGCGGGGTACACCCTCTCCGAGGCGTTAGATCTCTCGCGTTCGAGCGTCCCCGCGCAGAGGGTCGCGGGGTTGACCCTGCTCGCGCGCGTGCTCGCGCGCGCGAAGCGGTGGGGCGCGACGACGACGCGCGGCGACGACGGCGATTTCGGCGCGTCCGGGTCCGACGGGTTGGGGGGCTTCGGCGGCGGGCGCGTGTCGCCCACGCCGCTGCCGAAGGGCGTGAGCTGGAAGGACGCGTGGCTGCACGCGCTCGTGGATCTGAGCGTCGTCACCGCGCTGCGGCGCGCGCTGGACGACGGGCACGCGGCGGCGGCGGCGGCGGCGGCGGGCGCGATCGCGGCGCTCCTCGGCGGCGTCACCGGCGGCGGGAGCGACCTCGCCGCGACCGAACGGCCGTCTCGCGGCGCGTCGGACGACGCCGCGAACGACTGGTTCGACGCGCTGGCATGCGCGCCGCCGCACACCGGACATATTGTAACGTACCGGACGCAGCCGTTATGGCGCTCCGGCGGGTGGGGCGCGACGTTCACGCCGCTCGGGTGGAGCGCCGCCGTCGGCGCCATCGCGTCGGACGCGAACGGGAACGTCGTGCCGGATCCCGCGGACGAGGCCGACCCCGACGGCGCGCCGCCGTCGGAAGAGACGCGCAGATCGCGCGCGATGGCGCACGCCGCGGACACGACCGCTGCGCTGCTTCGCATGGGGATCCTCAACCGCGTGCGGTACCTCCTCGAAGTCGGCGCGCACCCGGCGGCGACGGCGCCGTGCCTCGCCGTCGTCGCCGCGTGCGCGCGGCACTCCGCCGCGGCGTGCGAGGCTGCGTTCAAGTGCCCGCGGTTGCTTCAAACGCTGACCGACATCGCGTCCGCGCCGTTGCTGTCGAAGGGGGATCATCCCCCGGGGTCGCCCGCGGCGGCGAGTCGCGCGTTGCGCGTCCTCGCGTCGTCGTCCGTCGTCAACGCGCGGCGGCTCGGCGCGAACGGCGCGGCGTCGACGGCGGTGGCCGCCGCGGCGTCCGCGATGTGCGTCCCCGGCGACGGCGCCGGCGAGGGTTCGACCGCCAAGGAAAATGACCTGTCGCGCGGCGCGAAGATCGCGAACTGGATCGAGGCGATTCGGCTGTGGGCGGCGACGACGGCGCGGGGCGGGCAGGTGCCGTCCGTCGACGGGCTGTATCCGCTGTTGCAGTTTGGGATGGAGAAACGGCGCGCGCGCGAGGACGGCGACCGCGGCGTCGCGCTGGCGACGGAGATATTCTCGCTCTTCGCCGCGTCAACGCCCGCGCTGGTGGCCGCGCGAGCCGCGAAGGACGCGGCGCACAAAGGCTGGGTCGCGCCCGAGATTTCAAAGGACGGGACGTTCGCGGACGCGGGCGGCGGCGACGCGTCCGCGGCGCTGCACCCGTCCACGGTTCTCGAGACGACGTCGCTCCCCGGCGGGATGTCGTGGTCGTGCGCGCTCGGCGCCGCGTCCGTCGCGGAGGGCTGGGTCATCGTGACCGACGGCGAAGAGACGTTACAACCCGGGTCGTCGCCCGCGGCGTGGCGCGCCGCCGGCGCCGCCGCGCACTTCCTCGCCGCCGTGCTCGAGGCGTCGACGTCGCTCGGCGAGCGCAGCGCGGACGTCGGCGACGCCGCCGCCGCGGGGATGCGCGTCCTCGGGCTGAGCGCCTCGTCGTCCTCCTCGGATCCGGACGCGGTGGACCCTCGCGGCGTGTGCGGCGAGCGCGGCCTCCTGACGTTGTGCCTCGACGCGTTGGACGTCGTCGGCGCGTCACCGGACGACGACGCGGGCGACGCGGCGCTCGCGCGCGTCTCCGCCGTCGGCGTCGCGCTTCACGGCGCCGTGCGTCTGCTCCACGCGACGCCCGGGGCGTCGTCCGCGCCCGCCGCGAGAGCGCTGCTCACGCGGACGGTCCGCGCGCTCACGCTGGCGTCCGCGGCGAGCGCGAACAAGAGGCAGGTGGGCGACGGGGTGCTGCGCGGCGGGCGGAGCGCGTCCGTCGACGCCGCGGAGACGCCGTCTCGCCTCGCGTTGCTTCTCGCGCTCGAGTCGCAGGACGCCGCGCACGAGCGCGAGCTCATCGCGCGAGAGAAGGAGAAGGAAAGTAAACTTCTTCACGGTAAAAAAGACGAGCGCTCGGAGGATACTACCAACGACGACAACTACGACGACGACACGGAGGGCGCGGTCGCCGCCGCGGAGGCCACCGCGGCGCTCGTCGCGTCGTTGCCCCCCGGCGCCGGCGCCGTCGCCGCCGACGCCGTGCGCGCGGGGCTTCTCTCGCGCCGCGCGCTCGGTCCGCTCCTCGCCGCCGCCCGCCGCGGCATCGACGCCGCGGTGAAGTACCTCGACGGCGAGACGGTGAGCGAAGACGCGCGGTTCACCGCGTCCGCGGCGAGGGATATCGTCTTGGACGCTGCGCACGCGGCGGACCCGGGGTCTTTGGTGCCGTCCGTCGCCGACGCGCGCGCGGCGACGTACGGAGGGTTCAACCTCGAGCTCACGTCCGAGATTGAGCGCGCGGCGTCCTCGGCGTCCTCGGCGTCCTCGGGCTCGGGCGCGGACGCGGCGGTCGCGCGCGGGCCGATGGACGGCGTCGGGTCGCTGACGCCGCTGCCGCCGCTGCCCGCGTGGCTGCTCGCGCCGTGCTCGCCGAAGAGCACGGTACGAGGCTGGGGCCCCGAGGGCGTCGCCGCGTGCCTCGCGTTGCTGTTGGGGTTGGAAGTCAGCGGCTCGTCGTTCGCGCGCGGGCTCCCCGCGGACGCCAAGCTCACCGCGATGAGCGGCATCTTTTGCATGGGCGAGAAGATATGGCGCGACCCCGCGGTCGCGGCGGCGGCGGCGGCGCTCACGGACACGTACTGGGGCCGGTTAGACGACGAGAAAATCACCGCGTGCGCGACGCCGAAGCTGGGGCGGCACTCGTACGACGGCGACCCGCGGAGTGAAAAGACGCGGCGGAGCGTCGACGGGAGGAAGAGCGTCGATCGACGAAGCGTCGATCGGCGGCCGTCGATCGACGAACGACGAAGCGTGGACCTCGCGCGGGACGACGCCCTAAACGAGAACGACGACGACGACGACGACGACGAGAGAGCCGCGAGGGAGATGGCGCTCTCGTCGCACTCGGAGACGATGTGCGAAAAGTTTGCGACGGAGTCGTTCGGGGACCCGCTCTTCGCGCGGCACGTCGCGTTCACGCTGCGCGCGGACGCGCCGCCGCGCGCGCGATGCGCCGCGTGGCTCGCGCTCAGAGAGGGCGTCGCGCTGCACCTCCTCCCGCCGCTCCCCGCGCTCGCGCCGCACCCGGAGGAGGGCGACCAGTTCTTGTTCCTCCCGCCCGGCGGCGAATGCGACGAGGAAATGCTCGAGCTCTACGTCCAAGCCCTGGAGAGCGGCGCGCTGGATCGAGGGTTCACGCAGTCTCCGCCGCCGCTGCCGTGCGCGCTCGCGTCGCACGCCATCACGCACGCGGTGTGCTCGTCGCAGGGCACGACGTCGTCGATCCTGACGCTGCGACGGATCTTGCGAAGGCCGAACACCGAACGCGTGTTGCGGAGCATGATGCACACGCCGCTGACGCAAAAGCGCCGGCCGTCCGTGGCGATCGCGGCGGCGTTCGGGACGTCGGGGGTGCATCACGGGAAAGGGGGGCTGTGGGGCGGGGAAACGCCGTTCGGGCCGGGCGCGGCGTACGGGAAGGAAGCCCCGAGCGCGGACGTGGAGGCGCGGCGGAGCGTGTTGCTGAGGGCGGCGAGCGAGGACGTCGAGTTGAAACGAGAGCTTCGAGCCGCGCTCGAAGCGGCGGTCGCGTACCCCGACGAGGAGGACGAGGAGGCGTAGTTGTGATTGGATGATAATACACAGTCAATCGAATCGTCTTAAAATTTCTTGTGACGCTTCGCATTCGGGGCGCCGCCACTCCCCCCACCTCCACCTCCGCCGCCTCCGCCTCCGCCGCCGCCGCCTCCGCCGCCTTGTTTCATCCGGTTCCAATTCTGTCCCGGCCCTCTCGAATGCCACTTCCCGCCGCCGCGGCCTTTCCCTCCTCCTTTCTTACCTCGCCCGCCGCCGCCGCCGCCGCCGCCGCCGCCGCCGCCGCCGCCGCGCGCTTGCCTCGCCCCCTGCGCGCGCGCTTTCGCCTCTCTCTGCGCCGCGACTTTCGCCGCGTGCCTCCTCTGGTTCTCCATCTTTTTTCTCTCCGCCGCGCTCAACTCCGGCGCGACGGCGACGTCCCGCTCGTCGCACACCCCCGCGAGCGCGGCGACCATGTCGCGAACGACCGTCTCGCCCTGCAAATCCCCCGTGCTCATCGGCGCCGGGCCGATCACGTTGCGATCGAATCGAGGGAAAATGTCTTTCGCCTTCCCTCGCCGCTCGTCCCCGGCGTTGTTCACGAGCCGACGCACGAGCGCTTGGACGCGCTCCCGGAGCTCGACGACGGCGTCGCACGCCGGCCGCGGCGCGTGCAACCGAATCTGTCCGTCCAACACGAGCATGTCGTCGTATCCGTCCCCTCCCGTCTCGTACCTCAGACTCCCGTCCGGGCCGCCGCCGTTCTCGACTTTCAGATCGCCGCCGGCGAGGACCATCATCGCCAGCGGCGGCACCGGCGTGCTGTCGCGCGTGTACACCTTGCTCGTCTTGACGCGCTCGTGGAACGCGACGTAACACGACCGCCACGCGTTTCCGTCGAGCTTCGAGTTGACCGAGCTCGGGTGGACGCTCGCGGCGTCGGGCTCTGACGCGTCGCGGTCCGCGGGGCGGACGTGGAGCTTCACCGCGGACGCGGACGCGGCGCCCTTCTTCGTCGGCGGCGCGTGAAGGTACGCGAGCTGCGGGTAGAGACCGGCGCAGAGGAGGCCGGCGAGGAGGCCGGCCGGGACGAAGTGCTCCCCGCCGCCGCCGCCGCCGCCGTCCGCGGCTTGCGCCGTGGACGTCTGCCCGAGCACGAGCCGGACGCCGTCGGTGCCGTCGTACTTCCTTCCGACGTACTCCGCGTGGTTCGCGCGGATCCCTCTCGGGACGATGCCGAGCGTGCTCAAGTTCTCGAGCAGCTGCCTCTTGCTGTTCGCGACTTGCTGCAGCGTCTTGATCGACAAGAACCGATCGCGCGCGAACGAGAACCGCGACTCGCCCGCGATGGCGTCGAACTCGTTGTACGCCTGCAGCGCGCCGAGAACGTCCGACTGCGGGCCTTCCCCAAACTTCCGCTTGCTCTCGTCCGCGGCTTCGCGCGCCTCCGCGGGCATCATGAACGGCGACCGGCTGCCGAGCAGCGACGCGAGCGTGATCGCCTCGTCCGCGAGACCGAGCGCGCAGCCGTACACGACGAGCTTCCCGAGTCGCGCGTCCGTGGGGAGCTGCGCGAGGAGTCTTCCGAGCGGCGTGAGCGATTCGCACGCGCCCGCGGTGAGCGCGCCGATGCAGCGGAGGTCCTCCACGGCGTTGTGCACGGCGACCTTCTCGGGGGGCTCCGGGAGACGCGAGCACACCGCCTCGGCGTCGCCCTCGAGGTTCAGCGCTTTCACGCGCATGACGAGTTGCTGAAGACCGACTCTGCGGACTTCCGGGTCCGTGTACCGCGCCAGCGGCGCGTCGGACGTGAACAGATGGAACGCGATGCCCGGGCGGACGCGCCCGGCGCGGCCGCGGCGCTGCTTCGCCGCCGCGTGGGAGACCATCACGTCGTCCAGCGAGCTCATCAGACGCTCCGCGTCGTATCGCTCCTCCTTCACGCGTCCGGTGTCGATGACGCACGTCACGTCGTCGATCGTGATGGACGTCTCCGCGACGTTCGTGGACAGGACAACCTTGCACACGCCCGGCGGCGGACGCAAGAAGACCTTGCGCTGGTCGTCGGGAGGGAGGCTGCCGTGCAGAGGCAGGATCCAGTCGGGGTCGAGGACGAACCGTCCGCGTCGCGCGTCCGCGCCGCCGCCGCCGCCGTGCAGGCGCCTCGCGAGCATCCCCAGCGCCTCCTTCACCGCGTCGATCTCCTTGGTGCCGGGTAAGAACACGAGGATCGCGGCGCCGTCCATCCCGCGGTCGTTATCCGCCATCCCCTTATCCCATCGGTCATCGCGCGCGTTAGGAAGCTTGGCCAACGCGTGGTCCACGTCGCCCTCCGCGTCCACGACGAACCACCTCACGAGCTCGGAGATGAGCTGCACGTTCACGACGTTCTCGTCGAGCTGCGCGAGCGCGCGGCACGCCGCTCGCGCGCGATGCTGATTACGGCTCGACCGCGTCAGTCTCTGCAGCCACTCGCCCTCGCTCGGCGGGCGGTTGCTCTCGTCCTTCGACGCCGCCTTCCCCGCTCTGCGTTGATGCTCGCGCGACCCGTGGCACCACTCCGCCTGGCGATCGACCCAGTGGTTCGTCACCGAGAGCGCGTCTTCGAGGTGCAGCGTCGCGACCGGGTACGCGCGGCCGGGGAAAGACACGCGCGGGGCGTCGTCGAAGTATTTCGCGAGGACGTCGCCGTCCATCGTGGCGGACATCAGGCCGAGCTTCACCGTCGTCGTCGCGGACGCGGCGGACGCGGCGGCGGCTTTGAGGGACTTCGGGACGGGTTTCAGAGACCCCAGAGAAGGCGCGCGCTCCGGGGCGTCGTCGTCGTCGCCGTCGCTCTTCTCCGCTTTCTCCTCAAAAGACCCGCCGCCCTCGCGCCGCTCGTTCGCGCGCCTCCCGAGCATCTCCTTGAGCGCCATGAGAAGGAAATCGCCCTCCACCGTGCGCTCGTGCACCTCGTCCACGAGCACGTGCGTCACGCCGTGAAGCCCCGGGTCTCGCTCCAACCGCCGCAGCAACACCCCCGTCGTGCAAAACAGCAGCCGCGTGTTATCGCACGTCTTGCTCTCGCCGCGGATCGCGTACCCGACCGCGCCGACGCCGACGCGCGGCTCTCCGCGCTCGCTCGCGACGCGCTCGGCGACGCCGATGGCGGAGATCCTCCGCGGTTGCGTGCAGACGATGTTCACCGGCGTGCCCGTCTCCGCGGCGTGCTCCAACAGGTACTGCGCCACCTGCGTCGTCTTCCCGCTCCCGGTCTCGCCCTCCACGATCGTCACCGGGTTGTTCTTGAACGCGTCTATGAGCGCGTCTCTGTGGCGGTACACCGGGAGGCTCATCCGCGTCCGCGCGTGCGGGCCGCCGCCGGGCACCGTCGGCGGCGCGCACATTCGAAGGTTATGCCCGCCGCCGCCGCCGTCCATCAGCGCCGCGTTCTCCGCCGCGCGCTTCTCTAAGTACGCGAGGTCCGGCGCGGAGGACGAGAGATGGACGTCGGACTCTTGAAGCAGTCCGGGGGGCAGCGGCGCGTCCACCGCGGTTTGCATGGCGCGCACGGCTTTGGAGGAGACGACGCATCGTCGAAGCGGCGGTCGGTACGGCGACCCGTCCGCGCTCGCGCCCGCGACCGGCTTCGGCTTGCTCGGCTGCGACGACGACGGGCTCTTCGGCGGCTTGGGTTGCTTCCCGAGCTTTCCCGTGGTCTGGTTCGGCCGCCACACGTCGTCGTGCTTGCGCTTGCGACTGGTGTCGTCGCGCATTCGTCCGGGGCCGTCGTCGTCGTCGTACGCGTCGTGCTGCCACATCCCGCCGCCGCCGCCGCCGCCGCCGCCGCCGCCTCTGGATGGCTTCGGGCCCCAGTACCCGTCGCCGCGCGCGCCGCCCGCGAGCGCGCCGTAGCCCGTGATCGGCGCGCGTCCGCCGCCGCCGCCGACGCCTCCCGCGCCGCCGCCGCCGCCGCCGGATCCTCCGTGCCAAGACGGCTGAGATCCGCCGAGGAGCGGGTTCGCGCTGCTCGCGATCTTCTCGAGCTGGCTCGCGTATCGCGGCGCGGCGGGAGGTTGCCCGCTGCCGCCCGCGGAGACGGGGCGACCTTTGGAGAAGAACGACATCGCGGCAGTGCTGCGAGCCGCGCGCGTCGTCGATTGGCGGCGAATTTTATCGTGATGAGTGGTGCCCTTTTTTCCGCGACCCGGGCCGGGCTGCTGGGACAGCGACAGACGACGAGATCTGAGAGGCGACGCGCGTTGTGTCGTCACACGTCATGCGCGCGCGCACGAACAGCGGCGGGCGCGCGACGGAAGTCAACGGCGCGGCGGACGTCATGTCCGCGGCCGCGATCCACCCTCGGTCGCGGTTCGGCGTCGGCGGCTCGCAGAGCTCGCGGAGGTACCAGCGATTCATCTCCGAGGACGAGGTTTCGTTTCGCGCGAGCGAGGATGCGAAGACGACGCGCTGCGCGATCGGCGCGTTCGTCCTCGCGTGCTTCTTCCTCGCGCTCGGCCTGTGGCTCATCGTCACCGCGGACTACGGCGAGACGGAGCACAAACAGCTGGACGAGTACAACGCCGGTGCGTCCCCGCGCGTTCGCGCAGGAGACGCGCGCTCGCGCGTTCGCGTCTCTCTCGTCGTCGCGTCGTCGTTCAAATTCGTTCGCGAACTCGGCACCCGCAGTCCTCTGCCGCCGCGCGAGCGCTCAATTCGCCCGTTCCCCATCACCGCCCCCTCCCCTCTCTATATCAGCCGTCGACGCGTGGACGCGCACGCACGCGGCGGCGTTCAACTCCACGTCGTTCGTCGTCCACTTCGGCGAACCGCACGTCGTGAACGCGACGTTACGCGACGCGGAGGAGCGCTCCATCGCGCATTCGGAATCGCGCGCCGCGCGCTACGCGCCCGCGTACTTCGTCGCGGACAACGCGCTCGAATCGGCCATCATCCCGTCCTGGATCGCGGACGGGACGCTCCCCGAAGCCGCGCGGACGATCCCCGCGGACGGAGGAACCGAGCACGTGACGTACGACGCGTCGAACGCGACGAAGGAGCTGATGGTCGCCGTCGACGTCGTCGTCGTCGCGACGCGAGCGGATGGCGCCGCGGACCGGATCGAGCTGGGCGAACACGCGGTGCTGACGTCGCGGACGTTCCCCGCGGGGAGCTGGAAGCCGTGTAAGTATCAGATGAAAGGGCACTACGCCGCGGGGTCGTGCACGACGTACGACGCGCTGAAGGAGGTGTGCGTGAAGCTGCGGCGGGCCGGCGACGTCGGCGGCGGGAACGGCGGGAACGGCGGCGAAGGCGAAGGCGCGACGGCGCCGTCGGGCCCGTGGGTGCTCGACGAGACCTACGGCGGGCACGGGTGCGACCCGCGGCACGGCTGGAGACCGACGACGACGTCGCGCGTGCGCGCGCCGAACGACGGCTCCGCGCCGTCGTTGGCGGCGGTGCGCGCGGCGCGGCCGACGCGTGCGACGATTCGGTCGTCGCGGGACCCGCACGTGATCGCGATGGCGATGACGAACGGGACGATGTTCTTCGCGGAGAGAGAGGCGGAGATGAACGTCGCCGCGATCGTGTGCTTGATGATCGGCGTCGTGTGCTTGGTCCCCGCGTGCGTGTTGGGCGGGTGGACGGCGCGGCGCGTCGCGAGGGAGCGGCTGCGCGCGGGCGCGCCGTTGTGGGGGGATCCCGCGGGAGGCGGGTCGGGGTCCGGGTCCGGGTCCGGCTCGCGCGGGGGGAAGCAGAGGGTGTACGAGATGGTGTAGGCAGGCGTCTTTTCGTGGAGCGCGCGCGTTAGGCGGAGTGATTCGGTGTGTTTTCGCGCGGAAGTAGTCTGCGGTTCCTTCGTCGCGGCGTCCGTTCGCGCGGTCCAGGCAGGACCCGATGGAAAAAGTCAACACCGCTGCCCCGCCGAAAACCAGAAACAGAAAGCGTCGACTCGACCTCGCCACTCCGCCGCCGCGCGATGGGCCGCGAGGCGAAGTCGAAGCTGCCGGCGAGCGCGCTCGACGCGCTCGCGGAGGTGGAGAGGGTCGCGCGCGCGCTGTACGACGGACCGGCGCGGTGTGCGCTCGTGCACGAGTCAGGGGAGCTCAGGTGCGCGGTCCTCGATCGATGCCGCCCACCCCGACGATCGACGCCAGCGTCCATCGCTCCCGTCTCTCCCATCTCACGCGTCCTCGTCCCCGTCCTAGTAGGTACGTCTCCGAGACCGGCCCCACCATCGACGCGGCGGCGCTCGATAACCTATGTGTGCTCCGCCGCGCGTCGACGAAGATGGGACGCGCGTTGGACGGCGGCGTCTCCGTCCCCGCGACGCACGTGAGGGGGGAGGCAACGTTGACGTCGGCGTTCGACGTCGGCGGCGCGCACGTCTTTGTCGTGCTCGCGGACGTGCAGCGCGCCGTCGCGGAGTCGTTCGACGGGAAGGAAGCGGAGCGGCGGATGCGCGGGGTGCTGGAGGGTCTCGTCGTCGCGTTGAAGGCGTGAAGCGGCGGCGTCCTTACACGTAGACTACTAGGAACGCGGCCGGCGACGCGGCAAATTAGCAAAATCTAGGCTATCGATGGCTAAAGTCTTACCCGCGGCGTCGACGGGCCATGGCTTCCATATTGCAGTGCGCGCTGCAGTGGCCGCCGTGACAGTCCATCATTATGTACGGCGCCTTTTGGTGGCACTCAGGACACGGCACCAACTCGCATTTTTTAGACCCGCAGAACGAATCCGGACAATACGAAAATCCTTCTTCTCGAACCCACCCGTACGCCGACTTCCGGTGCTCTCGGTGAAAGCACTGTGCCCAACAAGCGCCGTATCCGTCGCATCCGTTCAGACCTTTCGCCGCCTGCGCCTTCTTTTTCTTCTCCTCCTCTGCCGCCTCCGCCAACTTCTTCTGCTCCTCCTTCATCTTCTTCTTTCTTTCCGCTCGAGCGTCCGCGTCCGCGTAGTACCTTTCTTCGTCGCCCTCGTCCGCAATTCCCACGTCTATCAAGAACTGCCACACGTCCCGCGGCATCATCGTCACGACGCGCGGGCACTCGCTTCGATGCGAAGGCCTCCCGCTGAGGTCGCGGTACCAGTGTCTAAGTTGACACTCCTTACTGCAATATCTGACGCCGCGGCATAGCTTGCATCCGAGCTCACAGTAACGCTTAGAGCAGACCGCGCACGAGCGAAAGAAATCGAGACGATTCGCCGCCGTGTCGCTGCGGTACCCGAGGTGATCTTGCCACACGCGCGCGACTTTGTACATGTCCTTCGCGAGGCGGAGATTCCTCGGGAGTCCGTGCTTCCCGAATTCAAAGCAATGCGCGATTTGCTCGAAACAGCATCGCGGCCGGTACGGATTCGGTTCGTCAACGGCTCGGTGCCTGGCTTGCTCTGGAGCGTGTCCGATAAAAGTGTTGAGGTCCTCAGAGCTCAACTCAAGCCCGGACCGCTCGCAAACTTCCCTTATAAACTTCTTTCTTCTATTTATCAAAGATTTGTGCCCATTGACAGCAGCGTCCAAGATTTTCTTGCTTCTTTTCTCATCGTAGAGGTCTGAGCCGGCGAAAAGATCCCGGTCCAAATTGTTATCAGACTTTGAATTAGTCCCAGACGTTACCGAGGGTTCCACAGCACGAAACGCTCTCATTAGCCAATACTCGCCCGCAGCAACGTCCATGGGCGCCCATCCGTAGTCGCGTGGGTCCGGTTGCGGAAACCCAGGCGGAACAGTGAACCCTGAAACGAGGTCCGCGAGTCCCGTGAGGTACGCATGCGCGACGTTTACCATCGCTTCGATGCTGCCGTTCTCCGCGAGCTTGAGATCGAGATCGAAGCGCTTCTTCGCATCAGGCGCCGTCCCGCGACCATGCGCATAACAGCACACGAGTTCTCTCATCGCGAGTAACGCCGAATAATCACTAGAACGCTGAAATTCGGCGTTGTCGAGCGACGCGCACTGCACGGTGTCGTCTTCGTCCTCAAAAACTCTCATATGCATAGCCGCTGCTTTCGAAAACCATTCGAACGACTTCTTCTGGTATTCGACTCCTTCCTGTTCGTAACGCTTTAACTCCGCGTGTTGCACGGTCAGGAGTTGGTGAAGTCTCGTCATCCGTCCAACGTACTCGGTGAGAATCTCCGCCGTGTTCGAGTCGTTCGCTCGCGTGGACACCCCTTCAGATTCACTCGCGCGGTACACTCGCGGTAAGGCGAAGCCCAGCGCCCGGAGTAAGTTGCTGATGCGCTCCGCACTCGTGTGGAAGCCCCCCGGCCAGACCTTGCCGCGGTGGTCCACCAAGACCGTAGCTCCTTCGGCGTCCTTGTTGCCTGCGTTCACGAGGGCATCAACGTGGGCTTTAACCCGTGGATCGTCCATGAATTCCACTTGCTCCCGCGAGAGAGAGATTGCGGTGCGTTCCTCTGGCGTCCGTCCGAATCTATCGATCAGCATGGCCATCACCTGGGCTTGGCTGTCGTCCGTCGCTTGAGCACTGGTTATTTGCTGCTCGCGCTCCGGTCCACCAGACATCCCCATGAAATACTGCGCCGGTGTATGTCCGGCTTCCGCGGCTTTCCCTATGAGCTGCCGCGCCTTCCCCGTATCCGCCCCTTCGACTAGACCTTTGTCGATCATCATGCCAAGGTTATACTGCGCCTTGGCGTCGCCCAACTCTGCGGCTTTCTCGTAGAAGTGCACCGCCGATGCTATGAATTCCGTTTTATCTGCCGAGCTGGCACCCTCATCACCCTCAAACAAATCTACGTAAATCCCGGCGATAGCGGTCATAGACTTTACATACCCCGCGTCGGCGGCGCGACGGTACCACCCCATCGCAATATATTCCCGTCCCGGGTCAGTGAACTCTTCGCCAATTTGAGGGCGGCAGCTGCCGGTGTCATCACGGAGCGCGAGCGAGCCGAGCGCGTGCATCGCGGCGGCGCTGCCCTTCGCGGCGGCGAACTCGAAGCAACGGACCGCACTCGCGTTGTCGCCTCTTCCCATCTCCAATTTTCCCAGCTCGACGATGGCGCCGAGGTGTCCGAACGATTGCGCAGCTTGGAACAAGTCTACAGCATGGTCGAAGTGTTTTTTCGAGAGTGTTTCGTCGCCGTCGGCAAATCGCGCTTCGCTGTCGCGGTTCAACCGCGTGGCGACTATATACAACGCTTCCACGTCCTTAGCCCGGCCTTTCGCCGCGGCCTTCACGAGCGCCTTGACGCGTGCGTCGTCTACAATTCCAGATAGAGAAGTTCCAGATTGAGCGGCAGCCACGACGTCATCGAGATCGCCGACGGACTCCTCTTTCTTTTTCGTCTTCTTCTTGCCTTTCGGCATCGCGGGCGGCGAGATCCGCTCGCGAGGCTCACCTCGCGAGCCCCGCGCGGCGGCGGCAGACCGCGCGACTGTCCTAGACGGGCGAACCGAGCGGCGAGAACCCCGCGCGACTCTGCTCGCGCGCGAACCCGGGTGCGCAAACCCGGGTGCGTGCGCGCCCGCGAATGGCATACAAATTTTTCGCGGGAAAAGAAAATTTCAGCCAGTGGCGTCCTCGCCGCGGCGTCGAAGAGTCACGTCATATCATAATACCATCGTATGTACAAGAACGCGTCGCCCTCTATCTACGTTTCTCTTTCCTCACCTCGTCAACGCGTCGATCATCGCCCTGACCTCCTCCCTCTCCTCCGGCGCGACGCCGTCGTCCTCCGCGGCGGCGATCTCTTCCAGCGTCGCCGCCACCGTGGACAGATGCGTCGCCATCTGTTGGGCGCTCACGTCCGGCACCTTCCCGCGCACGAGCGCCTTCACGCGCTCCTCCGCGACGCGCATGCGCAGCCGGCTCGCGAAGAACGTCCTCGCCTGCGACCACGGCACGATCTCGCGGATGGCTCGCTTGTGAAGCATCACCCCGGGGGTGTCGTGCAACGCCGCGAAGTGCGTCGCGAGCTGCTTAAACGTCGGCATGAGCTCCTTCTCGAGCTTCTTCTCCGCGGTCTTCCCGTCCTCGCCGTGGAATTTCGAGCCGTCCTGCATCGCCGGGCACGTCCGCCGCATCGCCTTCACGAGATCCTCTCTGCGGAATTTGATATCCACGACGCCCTCGGGCTCGAGGACGCCGCCCTTGCTCTCGTCGCTGGCGTAAAACTCCATCTTCTCCGGGTTGATGGACGAGTCGATCACCACCCACGCGCCGCCTCTCAGCTCGCCGCCGTGCGGGATGTACACAAAGATCGGCTGGTCGTACTCGCGAAGCGCGTCGACGATGTACGCGCCGTACTTTAGGATCTCGCCGTACATGTCGCGCAGGCCGCCCGCGAAGCCGCGCCAGTTGGCGAAGATGATCAGAGGCAAGCCCTCGCGGTTCATGTCGCCGATGGCCTGCGCCGTCTTAAACGCGGAATCCGGGAACCACACTTGCCCGGCTTGCGTCTCCTCCGCGATCTGCGCGCCCTCGAACGCGGGGTCCGCGGGGACGGTCTTCGTGCTCGCGCGCGTCTCGACCGCGACGGCGCCGACGGCGAGCCCGCCGAGGCGCGCGCGGCCGGTGACCACGGACCGCCCCCAATCCGTCATCACCTCCATGAACGACCCGCGGTCGAAAAAGTGATGCAGCATCTCGCGCGGGTCATGCGGCGTCGCGCCGGGGACGAACCCGATCGACCGATGGATCGTGTCGAACCCGCCGTCGGAGCTCGCAATCGCGGCGGCGGGAGACAGGAACGGCAGCGGCGCGCCCTTGCGCTTCGGGACGTAGGATAACCACCGAAGAATCGACGAGACGCCGCGGACGTCGTCCGTCACGACGAGGTGCGACACGCCGTTGGCGCCCATCACTCTCGGGCCGCCGATCTGCGCGTTGGACGCGTACACCTCCCTCCCGAGCACCTTGTTCAGCGCGCTCGCGCCCGTGAGAATCAGCGGCGCCTCCGCGTGCTGAATCACGCGCTGGCACAGACGGCTGCAGTACGCGCCGATGCCGACGGAGCGACCGGTGACGTACGCCATCGTCACGGTGGCTTTGGGTCGTTCCATACAAAGCGACGTCGGGGTGGAGTTGAAAGGCGTCAGGTGGAGTTGAAAGGCGTCGATGGCGGGGATTGAAAGCGAGGGGTGGGCGGAGAGACGCGCGGGACAAAGTCCTTAAGGATCGGCGAGCACCACGCGAACGCGGTCGTATGGGGACCAGTGTATAGAACGCGCCTTTGTACGCCCTGGACGTCGCCGACGCGATCTCGCCCGAGCCCTGTAAACACTCCACGCCCTGGCCGCCGCACACGTCCGTGAGCGCAAAACGCACCTCTCCGGTGGTCTCGTCCACGACGCGGTCGCAGAGGACGCGGCCGCCGGTGCCGAGCATCTCGTAGTCGTCCTCGCTGAGGTAGAGGTACTTGAACCCGCGCGACGGCTTGTGCGGGTCGTGCCACGCGACGCGAAACGCCGCCTTGACGGCTTCGTCGAGACCGATCCTCGCGCCGCTGTTCGCGCTGATGTACACGCACGGAAGCCCTTCTGTGACGGATAATTCGAACGCGGCGCGGTACACCGCGTCTTCTTTCGGGGATAACGACCCGGACATGTGCGTTATGTCGTTCGCGACGAGGATGATCTCTCGGCCCTCCGGGTACTCCGCGGTGAGCAGTCGGACGCGCCAGCACACCATGCCGACGTCGTTCATCCCGGGCGCGCGCTCGACCTCGATCAAGGTGCCGGCGGGACCGCCGTGCGCGAGCCCGCCGGGGGCGTCGAGGACGAGCTCGACGACCCTGCCGAGGCCTTGGTTCGCGCGCTCCGCGAGCACGTTGGCGAAAATCTCCGGGAAGTCGTACGCGTACGTGCTGTTGAGGTTTTGGCAAATCATGCGCTTGCGCTGAATCTTGTCCAGCAGAGGGTACTCCTTCATCCGCGGCGGAATGGAGACGGACGCGCTGCTCGGGTCCCCGTGCGTCGTCGACGTCATCTTGAACTTGAGCCCGGACGTGTTCAGCGCGACGACGTCCGCGGCGCCGCCGACGCGCACCTCCACGCACGACACCTTCAGCCGTCGCAAGTCTTCGAACGTCGTGTTTATGAACGACGCGATGGCCGCCTCCACGCGCGGCAAGTCCTCGAGCGTGGTGCCGACCATGTTGATGTAGACGTGGTTCCACGCCGTGCCGTGCTGCCCGACCGCGAGCTCTAACGACCCCAACACGTCCGCGAGGATGGAGTCGTCGTGGACGGAGGACGCGTTCGCGCCGAGAGAGGAGAGGTCGATGTCGAACGAGCCGCTCGGCGTTCGCTTGTGCGACGACAGCGGCGCTTCGATCCCCGCGAGCAACAACTCTTTGTGGTACACGCTCGCGCGCAGAAACACCCTGCGATCGCGCTGCGGCAGCTTCGCGCCGCGCCTGGACTGCGGGACCGCTTCCTCCGCGAGGAAGACGCCGATGACGTACTCGGACGCGTTGACGAAATTCGCCGCGCGCGCGCGCCCGTGCGTCCGCGACGACAACATCCCGACGCACTCCACCTGAAAGTTGCACAACCGCTCCACCTCCATCTGCGCGGCGACGTGCGGCCAGAACCCTCTCGCGACGGACATCTCCTTAAACTCGCCCTCCGGCGCGAGCGGCGACGAGCTCGTCATCGACGGCGAGGACACGAGCCCGCTGGGGTGCCGCACCGGCGCGGGGGGGCCGCCGCCGGGGACGTTGCGCGAGAAGGAAAAGTGCTGCGGCGCCGCGCCCGCGCATAGGAGCGTCACCGCGACTCTGGACGTCTCTTGGGACAGCGCGCCGGCGAGGTGCTGCCCGGTCACGAACGCGGCCGCGGCGTCGCGGACTTCCCGCTCCTCCCTGCCGTGCAGACGCGGGTACGCGATCACGAACGAGAGCTCCTCGGGTTTTTCCGCGGACGCCTCCGGGAGCGCGGCGACGGCGTGCCCCAACGACGGCGCGAAGAGCACCATGTTCCGGCCGTTCCTCAGGCGCACGCACGTCACGCCGGGCTCCGCGTCGAACGTCTTCGGGCCCGCGTCTGGGATCGTCGAGAGGTCGATCCCAGACGCGTTGAACAGCGTTTCGATCGCGGCGAATTTTTCCGTCTCCGACGGCGCCTCGAACAGCGTGTTCCACGTGAACGCGTCGCCGCCGTCCATCCCGGCTTCGGCGCCGACGTCGTACGCTTTCATCTTCTGGCCCTCCTCCGCGAGGTCCGCGTAGCTGTTGAACCGCGCGAGCGTGTTCGTGCCGTCGAGGAACAGCGTCCCGACGCTGCGGCGCTTCGGGCGACCGTCGTTCGCGGCGGCGTCATTTCGCACCGGCGTGTTCGCGCCGCCGTCTTGCGACGACACGTCCGACATGTTCGCGAGGTCGCCCTCGCTGCCGCCGTACAGCGACCCCGCGCTCGCGAGCCCGAAATCACTCAGGGAGTCGTCCCTGTTGTGACCCGCCGCGAGGTTCATCTTCGACGCGCTGAGTTCGATCGCTTTCATGCGCTCGCGTCGCGATTTCCGCGACTCGTCTTGCTTCCGAACGATGATCTCCCTGGCGCGGTAGGACACCTCCTTGTACCCGGCGTGCGACGCGGACTCGAGCTTCATCAGCCTCCTGACCGCGTCGTGGCACGGCGCGATGTCCGTCATGTCGTGCGCGCTGACTTCGTCCAAAATTTTGAGCACCAGCCCGCTGCGACGCGCGAGCCGCGAGTGCGCGTGCGCGTACTGCACCACAGCCGCGGCGTCGCCCTTGTACCTCGACCGGAGCAACATCACCGCGTCTTCGAACGACGCGCTGCACGCGAACGGCTCCTCCGCGTCGAGGTACGTCTCGAGATACCGCGTCAACACTCTGACGCGGTTCATGTGCAGACCGCCTTCGAACTGGTCCACGAACGCGCGCAGCGGGAGAAAGTCCGGGCCGTGCTCGTCGATGAGCGCCTTGACGCGCGCGACGGCGACGGAGACGACGTCGGTGCACTCGTCCAAACTCGCGCGGCGGCCGTCGTCGTCTTTCGACCCGACCGCCGCGCGCATCAGGTTCTCGATCGCGGCGAGCTCGTCCAGCGCCGCTTTTGACGCGCGCGACGACACCGCTTGCTTCGTCTCGGAGAAGTCGTCCACCGCGAGCTTCATCGTGCCGAGCACTTCGAGCAGCGGCGTGACCGGGTCTTTCGTCTTGTTGAAATCGTACCCGGCGAGGAGCTGCACGACGCCCGTCGCGTTGACGTTGAAGCGCACGAGCGCGCTGTCGTCCCCGAGCGCGCCGGTGAGCTTTCGACCGGGGATGACCGTGAACTCGCCGCTGAACGGCTGGGACACTTTCACCGCGCTCGGGTCCTCGACCGCGACGGCGCAGAGCTCGTCGCCCGTCTCCAACGCCGACCCGGGCTGCACCTTGTGGGCGACGACGCCGGTGCTCGTCGCCATGAGCGGCATGACCGTCTTCATGACTTCGATCTCGCAGTACGCGACGCCCTCGACGGCGCGGCCGCCGTCTGGGACGAGGTACCGAAGCAGCTTCCCCGTCCCCGGGGCGCACATCTTCGTCGGGTCGAAGTCGTCCGGGAAGAAGCACGGATGCCCGTCCACGTGAATCTTCAACCCCACCTTGGTTTTCTCGTAGTTCACCGTGTGCGCCTTCCCGCCGAGCAAAACCTTCAGCCCGCCGTCTTGAAGGACCAAAACCTCAGCCTCGCACACTGTCTGGTCGTTCACCTCGATGTAAAACAGCGTGTGCGATCCCATCGTGACCTTCAGGTTGTACTTGACGTCCTCGTAAATCAGCTCGAACGCGTGCTCGCTGAGGTTCGTCATCCACGCCTCCGGGGGCACGCCGCGCGTCAGCGCGTCGATGACCCGCTGCTCGAGCTCCTGATGCCGGCTCGTCGCGCGCATGACCGCGCCGCACACGACGACGAGATGATCGTGCAGCATCTCCTTCGGCTTATCCGCGGCGGCGATGAGGCCGTCGAGCCACGCCGTCGTGTGCGCGTCGCCGCGGAAGTCGTCCTTCTCGAGCAACGCGCCGAGGTACTTGACGTTGGTGTGAATCTCGCCTCGGATGGACAGCTCCGAGAGCGCCTGCACGAGCAACGTCGTCGCCTCGTCGCGCGTCGGCTTATGCGCGAAGATGTGCCCGAACTGCGAGTCCGCGAACTGGTGCACGCCGCCGGTGAGGCCGACGCTGAAGTTGCCAGTCACACCCGGGAGCGAGCGGAAGTGCAACGCGTGAATCGCGCCCGACGTCGGCTTGAACCCGACGTCGGGGTCCTCTGCGGTGACCCTTCCCGCGATGCAGTGACCCATCGGCGGGTTCTGCCGCGCGGTGTCGAAGTCGATCGCGGAGACGCCCATGACGTCTTTCTCGCCGTAGAACCGTCGCACGTGCGGCATCTTGTTCAGAGGGATGCCCATCGCGATTTGGAGCTGCGTCGCCGGAAGGTTGACGCCCGTGATGGTCTCCGTCACCGGGTGCTCCACCTGGAGGCGCGGGTTCACCTCCAAGAACGAATACACGCCCGTGGTGATGTTGTACAGGTACTCCACGGTCCCGACGCCGCTGTACTTGACCTTCTTCGCGAGCCTCACGGCGCCGCTTTCGAGCTCTTCGCACGTCTCGCGCGGCGCGACGGTGACGGGGCCTTCCTCGATGATCTTCTGGTGCCGTCGCTGCACGCTGCAGTCGCGGCCGTACAGCGAGATCGCGTTCCCGTGCTTATCCGCGACGACCTGGACCTCGAGATGACGCGAGTTCGTGGAGAGCTGCTGGATGAAGATCGGCGACCCCGGGACCTCGGCCTGGACTTGCACGAACCCGGTCCTGAGCTCGTCCATGTTGGACACCATGCGGATGCCCTTCCCGCCGCCGCCCTCCGACGCCTTCACCATGAGCGGGAAACCGATCTTCATCGCGCTCGCCTCCGCTTCCTCCACCGTCGCGAGCGTCGCCTCGAGCAAAATATCCTCCGGGATCGTGATGTCCGGCACCGTCAGCCCGGACCCGCTCCAAGGGATCACGTTGACGTCGCACGACTGCGCGAGAAGGTTGGCGCAAATCTTATCGCCCACCGCGTCCATGCTCTCCGCGCTGGGCCCCAAAAACGCGATGTCGTGGTACGCCAGCGCCGCGGGCAGCTTCGGGTTCTCGCTCGCGTGGCCCCACCCGGGCCACACCGCGTCCGCTTCGCATCGCCGCGCGACCTTCACGATCAGATCCACGTTCGCGTAGTTGTTGCGGTTGGATCCGCTCTCGACGGTGACGAACTCGTCCGCGAGACGGATGTACTCCGCGTTGGCTTTCAGGTCGTCCTCCGTGGCCATGCACACGATGTGCAAGATGTCGTGCGTTCGGAACGTCTCGTACTCCCACAGCCGCAGGGAGCGGATCGCTTTCACCGCGCCGAGGCCGTTGTTCGCGATTAGGATCTTACGAATCAGCCGCGTGCCGCCGCGGCTGAGGACGTAGTTCTCGAACTGTATCGACGAAACGTCCGACACTGCGGCGGGGGAGGGGGAGGGAGCGCGAGGAGGGGGGGCGTCAGGGTCTTAATCGCGGGGTCGCGGCCGGGGCCGGGGCCGGGGCGGGCGGGGATCGACGGCGACGAGGGAAGACGGCGCGGGGAGCGCGATCGTCGCGCGCGCGACGCGTTTCGTTCGCCGCCGCGAGGACGACGACCGGACGCCGCGCGCGCGACGACGGACGCGGTCGCCGCGCGCGGCGACGGCGACGCCGCCGAGGACGCGTCCGCGGGCGTCGATCGCGGCGCGAGGCCCTTCCGCGAGGACGCGGACGCGTCGACGAGCGAGCGAGCGTCGAACGACGGTTGACGCCCGCGCGCGCGCGATCCCTCGTTCGCGCGACGAGCGCGCGAGACGCGCGGCGCGAGGACGAGAGGGCGGCTGGTGCTCACTCACTCTTCGCGATGCCCGCGCGCGTTCCCTTCGATGCGTCTGTCGCCGCGCGCTTGAGCGTCGCGTGTGGACGGCGCGCGTGTTATGCAAAACCCGCGCGCGCCCTTCGGCGCCGTAACGCGCCGAGGTTCGTTATGACGAGGAGGCGGGCGGGCGACGGCGATGCGACCGCTCCTCTCCCTTTCGTCGCCGCAGCGAGAGGTGCCGTGTCGCTGATTATCGGACGGATGAGGCCGAGCCGAGGCGGGCTGGCGAAGTCCAACTCGACACCGGGTGAATTTTATTTTTGAAAGAAAAAGCCCGAAAGCAATACGCGATCAACCGTCGGGGTGAACGCGCCGACGTCGCCGATCAAAAACCAAACGCCCGCGCGCGTCGGTGACACATCGGTGACACTGCCGCGCAAACAACGAGAAAAAGCGACTCTCTGCAACCTTCGATCACACTCTTCACCGCCCCGCCATCTGACGTCGTACGCGCGATGCCTGGGAAATACGCCATCGGCGCGCTCCTCGGAGCGGGCGCCGCCGTCGTCGTGAACGACATGATGCCCGGTGCGTCGCGTCGATCCGATTCCGATCGCGTCCGCGCGGCGCGTTCTTCTTTCCGTCTCTTCCTTCATTCATCGCGTCTTCCCGTGATCACGACGCATTTCAGCGATCCACGAAGCGTCGCTCAACTCCCCCGTCCCTCCCCCGTCCCCAACACGACAGACGCGCTCCCGCGCCTCGGGCTCAGCACGCCGAAGAACATCAACCTCCAGTACTTCGACATCATGGGCCCCACGGAGCGCATCCGCTACGCGCTCCTTCTCGGCAAAGTTCCGTTCAACGACGAGCGCGTCAAGTTTTCCGATTGGCCCAGCGTGAAGCCCACGACGCCGTACGGTCAGATGCCCGTGCTCACCGTGGACGGGCAACGGTTCACGCAGAGCGGCGCGATCTTGAACTGGGCGGGGACGATCACGGGGTTGACCCCGCGCGACCCGATCAAGGCGATGCGCGTGAACGAGGCGTGCGAGCTCGACAACGACTTGCGAGGGAAGATCCGGCCGAGCATCTACGTCGGCATGGACAAGTCGCTGGGCGACCGGGAGAAGAAGCGGAAGGTGAAGGAGATGCGCGAGGAGATCGCGAAGACGCACATCCCGTTCTACCTCGGGCACTTCGAGAAGATGCTCGAAGACAGCGAGTACCTGTGCGGCGACAAGGTCACCGTCGCGGACTGCCAAGTCTTGAGCACGCTGCGTTGGCTCGGCGGCGGCGGGCTCGATCACATTCCGCCCACGTGCGTCGAAGCGTTCCCGAAGCTGTGCGCGCTGAAGAAGAAGATGGAGGCGATGCCGGAGATCGCGGAATACCTCGAGAAGACGAAGAAGTGAGTATCGACGATCTCGACGCGATAGAGCCAGCGAGCGAGCGAGCGAGCGAGCGAGGAGGAGGAGGAGGATCGCTACGCGACGCGGCGACTCGCGATGTGCACACCGTACCAAATCGAAGGACACGCGTCTTCCTTTTTCGCTACTGTACGCTACTAGTCTAGCTTAGCTATCTCCTCCTCGTCGTCAGTCCAGCAGCGGGACGACGCGTTCTCTCTCCTCCTTCCGCTCGCCTGGACGCCATCGGTACGCGTACGTCTTCCCGCCGCCCGCGCCCGTCTCCCGCGTCGCCTTGTCCGCCGCCGCCGCCGCCTCCCCCGCCGGTCGAACGCGCACCTTCACCGTGACGCACTTAGACAACGCCCACGCGACGAGAAGCGCGATCGCCGCGGACGTCCACGTCCACGACCGGAATATCCACGCGAACGCCGCGCGATACCAACGCAGCGGCGCGGCGATCGCGTCCGTCCACGACCCTCTCGCGAACCGCCGCCGCCACTTCCCAGGCCCGGCGCGCCAAAACGCGGCGACGACGCGCGACTCCTCAGGGAACAGGTCGCGCGCGAGCTTCCCCCACCGACGCTTCCGCCACGCGTCGCGCGCGCCCGACTCCTCGAGCGCGGCCGCGACGCGATTCGTCCACGTCGACCACGCCATCTTCGCGTCGCGAATCGTCGCGTCGCTCGCGGCGGCGATCGCTCGGCGGATTCGCGCGATCCGCGACCGGAGCCCGACGCGCGGGCGCGCGTCGCCGTCGTCTCGCCGCGCGAGCGCGGGGGCGTCGGCGTCGACGATCAGCGGGGGGAGGTCCGCGCGGGGGGACGCGTCGTCGTCGTTGGCTTCGGCTTCGGCTTCGGCGGCGTCGCGGACGTCGTCGTGGACGTCGTCCCGGAGGAGGTCGTCGTCGCTCTCCGTCTCGCGCGGGAGACGACGACGCGCCCCTCCTCCCGCGCCTCGAACCGTCGTCGTCGAATCGCGCGCGTCGTCCTCGCCTCCTCCGCGCGCCGCGGTCTCCGTCGCTTCGACGGCGCGGAAGGAGGACGCGATCGCGAGGACGGCGACGAGAACGCACGCCGCGCGGAGGCGGCGGCGGCGTGCCATCGCGCGCGTCTCCCGCTGTGACGAACCTTCTGTCCGAACAGCTCGGGTTGGTGTCACCGATGAAAGCGTTGCGCGAACCGATCCTTTCACAAATCGGGCGATGAAAATATAATTTCCCGATGAACCTGACCGACCAGCTGGCACTTCAGGTTCAGATTCGCCGCGGCATCGCATCGTCATCATGCGTCAGACAAATCTTGGGATCGACGCGTCCCGCTCCCAGTCGTGCGCCGCGCCGCGCTAGGCTCGCGACAGGATGACGTCCGCGGAGGAGACGGAACCGTGGGAGACCGCGAAGGAGATCGAGGCGCGGCTCTCCCCTCCCGAGTCCGACCCCGAGGGCGTCTTCGGCGGCGGCGCGGTCGTCGAGTGCGTCGCGCGATGCGGGGTCTTAGTGATGCCAGAAGAGATCGTCGTGGGACTGAATCTGACGCGCGACGTCGCTCGAAGGAGCGAGAGCGACGACGTGAGAAGACGCGAGGGGTCCGAGAGCTTGGAGTTCTCCCCCGTCGCCGCGAAGCTTCTGCGCGACTACCTCACCGAGTGCGCGGAGATCGTCAGCGCGGTCGTCGCGTGCGCGTACCGAGGGCAGGACGGAAAGATGCGGACGGGTAAGTTTCTGCGCGGATTCCCGCCCGAGGCTGCCGCGAAGGCGAGCGCGTGGAGGAAGGAGAACCTCCCCGCGTCGTACCTCGCGGTGGACGTGGAGGAGCTCGAGGCGAAGCGCGAGGCGATCGCGCGGAAGAAGCGCGAGCACGCGGAGAAGAAGAAGCGCGCGGAGCGCGACGCGGGGGCGAATCTCGATCGCGCGGGGGGAGCGAAAGCGAACGCGCGCGGCGCCGACGCGCGCCATCGCGACGGCGGAAAACGCGGCGGCGGCGACGCGCCCGCGCCCGCGAGCGAGGAGGCCAATCGCGCGAGGCGTCCTCCGCCCGACGTCGCGCCGCCCGCGCCCGCGCCCGCGCCGGTCGTGCTCGTCCCCGCGGGTCCGCCGTCGACGCCGGCGTGGGGCGCGGCGGCGGCGGCGGCGGCGGCGACGGGCGCGGCCGCGACCGCCGCCTCGGGAGACGGAGACGGAGGAGGAAGAGGAGGAGACGAAGGGGGCGCGAAACCCGCGGCGCCGAGCCTGGCGGACATCTTGAGAGAAGAAGAAGAGGCGTCGCGCGCGCAGCGCCACCGCGGCGGCGGCGGCGGCGCGGCGTCGGCGTCGGCGTCGAAGCGTCCGACGCCGGGCGTCATCCGGCTTCCGAAGGCGACGGGCGGATGGGCGGACCTCGTCCGCGGCGGGACGGAGTCCGGGTCCGGCGGCGGCGATCTCGGACGCGACGAGAAGACGTGGGAGGTGGTCGAGGGCGCCGGGAGACCGCCGCCGCCGAAGATTCCGAAGATTTCCCCCGCGCAGCTCGCCGCCAACGCGCGCCTGTCGAAGATCGATCAGTTCGGGAAGATCCGATGCTTGGTGTGCACGAAGACGTTCAAGGCGTACGGTCCGCTGGAGCAGCACCTCGCGGCGAATCATTTCGGGTTAAACTCGAACGAGGCGAAGGCGATCGAAGCGGGGTTACTCGCCGCCGGCGTGCGCGTCCCGGGCGACGGGAGCGAGAAGACGAAGACGGAGCGGCACATCACGCCGGTTAACCTCGGGGAGATTCTGCGAGCGCCGAAAGAGAACGAGACCGCGACGTCGATCGCGAACTCGCTGTCGGCGTACATCCGGCAGGCGGCGCCGTCGAAAAAGGAGCGACGCGAGAAGCAAGCCGCGGAGGCGGAGCGCGGCGGCAGAATCAAGACGGGCGGCGTGATGATGAGGAATCCGAACCAGGTGAGACTGCTTCCCATACGACCCCGTTCGCGTGGTGCACGCCGATCCTTGAGGACTTTTCCCGTCGTCACTCTTCACCCGCGCTTCCCTTTCAACGTTTGACCGGTAAGACGTTCAACTGACCGATCGCTTCACCCACGCAGGCCATGAGCAGCGGGATGGTGTTACGGCGCGGTAAGGAGCGCGAGGACGGGAAGAAGAGGAGACGGCTGACGAAGCTGAAGAAGATCGTGTTGGAGGCGCGCAAGGCGAGGGCGGCGACGAGCTCGAGGGCGTCCGACGGGGAGAAGATCGAGGTCACCGTGGAGATGGGCCGCGTGTACGTGAACATCATCGTCGCGCCGCCGCCTGCGGCTTCTTCTACCGACGGCGGCGACGGCGAGGAAGACCAGCGGCGCGACGACGGCGACGACGACGCCGGCGGCGGCGTTCGTGTGGACTTGATTTACATCGAGGACGACGACGAGGAAGAGGAGGACGAAGACGCTGACGCCGCGCGCGAGGACGACGAGGCCGTCGTCGACGCCGACGCCGACGCCGACGGCGGGGAGCAGCGCGCGAAGAAGGACGAGGAGGCTTCATCGGTGGTCGTCGAGACGGAGGAGCCGGTCGTCGAGAAGGACGTCTTCGATACGGGAACGCAGACGGACGCCGCGAGCAGGGGAGGACTCGCGGCGTCGAGCGGCGACGGCGGCGGCGGCGACGGCGGCGAATCTGGAGTCGAGGTCGAGGGTCCGCACGACTCCGTGAACTCCGCGGCGTCGTCGGAGACGTCGATGGAGATGGAGGAGTCGTCGTCGTCGAAGACGGAGACGGAGACAGAGACGGACGACGCGACGAAGAAGCCGGCTGGCCTCGCCGCGTCGGCGCCCGCGTGGGGCGGCCGCGCGTTCAAAGACGTCCTCCAAGGGTGCGAGGAGGAGGAAAAGGCGATCGCCGGGGAGGCGAAGAAGAAAAAACGCGCGAAACGACCGGAAGGCTCCGCGCCCGGGATGCAGCGTCACTGCGAGCTGTGCGACGTCAAGTGCAGCGGCGACGACGCGTGGGAGAATCACATCGTGAGCAAAGGCCACGCGAAGTGTCAGAAGCGACGCGACGACGAGGCGAAGAACCCGGGGGGGGGCAAGGCGGGAAACGGCGGTCTCAACAAAAACGGCCTCCCGCGCGAACCGAAGGAGCGCAAGAACGAGTCGAACGCGTACATCTCCGGCGCGGTGTCCGTGCGGTACGCGAACCAGGTCATCACCGCGGAGCTGAACGACGCGACGCAGACGTGCGTCGCGGAGCTGAAGCGATTCCAGGACCGTCTGTACTTTAAGGATCCGATCAAAGCCAAGATGCGACGACGGCTCGTGTTCGGCTTGCGCGAGGTCACGAAGGGCGTCCAGCTCGAGAAGGCGAAGTGCGTCATCGTCGCGCCGAACATCGAAGAAACGGACCAGGCTGGGGGGTTAGACGACGTCATCGGCACCATCTTAGAGGAAGCGACGAACAACGGCACGCCCGTGGTGTTCGCGTTGACGAGGAACCGATTGGGTAAAATCGTCGGCGGCGCGCGCGTCCGCGTCTCCGCGCTCGCCGTGTTGGACTACTCCGGCGCGGAGGACATGTTCCACGGCATGATCAAGACCGCGGCGGCGTGCAGAGCGGAGTATAAGAGACGGGAGGAAGCGATAGCGCGAGGCGAGGATCCGGACGCGGGGAGAGCGGAGGCTTTGGCGGCGGCGGCGGCGGCGGCGGCGGCGGCGGCGGCGGCGGCGGAACCGCCTCCGCCGCCGGCGGCGCCGCGTCTGAGCGCGAACGCGGCGCTGTTCGTCCCGCGGTTCCTGGCGACGACGAAGAACGCGGAAGCATGATGGACGCTGTAACAGCGTCGACGAGTAGCATCGCATACAAGACAACATGTCTATACGAAATGTTGTCTGGTTACTCGCGTTTTGTTTCTGTTGACGTTCGGAAACCCACCCGACAGCGACAGAGCGCGGCACCCTCATCGCCATTCCCGCATGCACGCCGCGACCGGGGTCTCATCATGCGCGCGATGGCGCGCCGTCCTCCCCCCCCCGCGCCACCGCCGCGATCGCGCGCGTCGCGTCGTCTCCGCCGCCGCCGACGATAGCGACGCGCCGTCGCCGTCGCGCGACGCCGCCGTCGCGACCACGAGCGCGACGACCGCGACCCGCGCGCGATCGCGATCCGCGCGCGAGATCTCCTCCTCCATCGCGTCGTACCTCGCCGCGCTCCGCGTCGTGAACCCGACGCGGTACGCCGCGATCGCGACGAGCATGGCGCGCTACGGCGGCGGCGCGCTGAGAAAGTCGCGAACGAAGGGCGCGTTCCCGGACTCGTGGTCGCTGCCGTTCGCGGTGGGGGTGGAGCTCCTCGCGGGGTTTCTCGAGGCGGTGACCATCACCGAGGATGAGATGATCGGCGTCCGCGCGGGAGACGAGCGCGCGCTGCGCGCGATAGGGGCGTACGTGAAAGTGCTCAGGGGGGCGATGGCCGTGGGCGTCCCGCCGTTACCGTGAGGCTTTTCCTCCTTCTCCTTCTCCTTCTCCTTTCTCTCCTCGCGGCGTTCGTTCATCTATCATCGAGCTGAGGGTGCCTATTTTTTGTAAGCTTCTGAGAGTTGTTTTTCCCTTTCCGTCGTCGACCCTTCCCGCGGCGGCACGCGCGCGGAACGCGTGCGCGCCAACGGCGTCCCCGCGGTGTGGCTCACCCCCCCCCAGTACGCCTCCACGAAGACGATCATGTGGATGCACGGCGGCGCGTTCATATTCTGTCACACCGGCACGCACGCGCGGTTGTTATCGAGCCTCGGCGCGGCGGCGGATGCCAAAGTGTTGAGCGTGGAGTATTCGCTGTGCCCGGACGAGGGGCGGTACGCGGACATGTTACGAGAGGTCACGCGCGCGTACGAGTGGCTCGTGGACGCGGACGGCGGCGGCGCGGACCCGAAGGACGTCGTCGTCGGCGGCGACAGCGCGGGTGGGCACCTCGCCCTGGGGTTGATCGCCGAACTCGCGAAGAAGAAGAGGGAGGAGGAGGACGGCGGCGGCGGCGCGCGGGAAAATCAGGTGCGTTCTATACACTGGTCCCCATACGACCGCGTTCGCGTGGTGAACGCCGATCCTTAAGGACTTTTGCCGGCGTCTCTCTTCGCCCACCCCCTGCTTTCAATCCCCGTCCTCGACGCCTTTCAACGCCAACTGACGCCTTTCAACTTCACCCCGACATTCGCTCGTATAGAACGACCCTCAAAACCGAAACCGAAACCGAAACGAAATGCCGTCGGGCGTGCTTCTCATGTCCCCGTGGCTCGACCCGGAGCGCGAGCACCCGGACACCGCCAAGGCGTGGTCGGACGCGGACTCGGGCGACTCGTTCGATTACCTCCGCGGCGTCGAGGGCTCGCTGAAGACGGTCGCGGACTTGGTCTTCGGGTGCGACGTCGACGGCGTCTGCGACGAGTCGATTGCGCGGTGTCTCGTTCGCGGCGACGTCTGGGACGACGCCGACGTCGCGTACCCGCCCGTGTTCGTGCAGTACGGCGGCGCGGAGGTGCTCGCCGCGGAGAGCAGAACGTTCGCGCGCGTCGTGAACGCGTCGAGGAGCTCGATGGTCGTGGAGCTCGAGGAGTGGGCGGACATGCCGCACGTGTTCCAGGTGTTCGACGCCGTCGCGGCGGCGGGCGGCGACGCCATCGCGAGCGCCGCCGCGTTCGTGAAGCGATGTTGATGATTGACGGATGAATGGTACGACAGTGCGAACGCGCGTTCGTTCGTCGTCTAGTAGCTAGCACGAGTAGGAAGCAGTATGCGATGATGATACAACACGACGACGACGTCGTCGTCGTCGTCGTCACAGCGGCACGAACATCGACGCGACGCCGCACGCGACGCGCGCGGACGTGTACACCGCCCCGAGCACGAGCTGCGCGACGAGCGGATTCGTCGCCGTCGCCGCCGCGGAATACGTCCAGTGGCAGCCGCGGTAGACGCCCACGCCGCAGTCCCACAGTCGTCTCGCGTTCGTCTTGTTCCCGCGCGTTTGCAGATCCCTGAGCGCGGACGCGAGCGCGCGCTGCATCTTTTCCGGGGGGTAGTCCGCCGCCGCCGGGTGCGACGAGACGAACGCGGCGACGAAGTCGGCGACGGCGTCGACGGCGTCGTCTCTGCTAACGACGACCCATCCGGGCTCATCGCTGTCGCGCGCCGTCGCGTTCGCGTTCAGGTTCAGGTTCGTCGTCGTCGGGACCGCGTCTTGGATCTCCACCAAGGCGTCGGTCGTCGTCGTCGTCGTCGTCGTCGTCGTCGCGTTCTCCCACCAGTTCGGGTCCATCACGTCGAAGATCGGGGCGTCGTCGTCGTCTTCGTCCACCGCGTCTTCGTCGTCGTCTTCGTCGTCGTCTCGTCGTCGTCGTCGGTTCTCGAGATTCTTCAGGAAGACCGGCGTCTCTATCCTCGCCAAGAGGCGCGCGTAGACCTCCCGCGTGCCCTCCGGGGTGGACAGCAGGCCGCGCAAGTACGACGACGCGCTGTCGACGGCGTTGAACCGGAGCAGGCGCGCCTTGAATCGGTTCACCGTGCGCTGCAAGTGCCCGAGCGCGAGCTCGCGGTGTTGCTGTTTCTGCTGCTGGAGTCGCGACGACGATGCCGTCGCGTCGTCGTCGTCGTCGACTCCCGCTCGGCGCGCGGTGGCATCGTCGTACCCCAGCGGGGATGGCGACCGCGGCGCGCGCGCGCCCGACTCGTCGTCCATCTCCGCGGCGGCGGCGTCGACCTCGCGACGCGTCCCCGCGCGCCCTGGATCTGACGAGGAGTGATGTCGTTGTCGTTTCCGACAAACAGAACTTTTGAACGGCGCAGATCTGAACGTCAGCGCACTCGTCCGTCGCGCGACGTCCAACGCCGCGAGGGTTCGACGTCCTCGACCGCCGCGGGTTTGCGTCGTGCCCCCTGCCGCGAACGCCGCGATGACGCCTCCGCGGCGCAGAAGTAAAAGCGCGCGCGTCGCGGTCGCCGTCGCGCCCCCCGCGATCGACGACGACGACGTCGACGGCAAATCCATCGACGAGCTGCGGCGGGCGAACGCCGCGCTCGAGGAGGAGGTTGGATCGCCGCGCGAAGTCGCGCGCTCGCCGTCACTCCTGGAGCGATTCGTCGAGGACGCGCCCGATGTCTTCGTCGCGCACGTGCTCCCGCGGCTCGACGACGGCGACCTCGCGGTGCTCGCGACGGTGAACCGGAAGATGCGCGACGTCGTCTTCGAAACGCCCGTCGGCGACGTGAGGGACGTCGCGGCGGTGAGGAGAGAGCTCGCGTTGGTGCCAAACTTCGTCGGGTCGATCGCGAGGCTGGCGTGGGCGAAGGAGCGAGGGTGTCCGTGGGACGAGGAGACGTTCGCGTGCATCGCGGAGGGTGGGAACGTGGAGGTTGCGAAGTGGGCGAAGGAGCGAGGATGCCCGTGGGACGACGAGTGGACTTGCACCGAGGCAGCGAGAGGCGGCCACCTTGAGATGGTGCAGTGGGCGCGGGCGAACGGCGCTCCGTGGAATGCGGATATCGGTGCCTTGGTCGCGAGAGGAGGTCACCTTGAGGTGCTGCAGTGGGCGCGCGCGAACGGATGCCCGTGGAACGTGCTCACTTGCGCCGAAGCCGCGCGTTGCGGCCACCTGGAGGTGCTGCAATGGGCGCGCGCGAACGGCGCTCCGTGGGACGCGAATACTTGCTCCGGAGCCGCGAAATGCGGCCACCTGGAGGTGCTACAGTGGGCGCGGGCAAACGGCGCTCCGTGGAACGAGTGGACTTGCGCCGGGGCCGCGGAAGGCGGCCACCTGGAGGTGCTCCAGTGGGCGCGAGCGAACGGATGCCCGTGGGACGAGGATACCAGCGATGAGGAAGGGCTGTGTAGTTGCTCCGGTGCCGCGGAAGGCGGCCACCTGGAGGTGCTTCAGTGGGCGCGAGCGAACGGCGCTCCGTGGGGCGAGAGGACTTGCGCCGGGGCCGCGGGTGGCGGCCACCTGGAGGTGCTTCAGTGGGCGCGAGCGAACGGATGCCCGTGGGGCGAGAGGACTTGCGCCGAGGCCGCGGGTGGCGGCCACCTGGAGGTGCTTCAGTGGGCGCGAGCGAACGGCGCTCCGTGGTACGATTCGGAGATTTGCGCAAAGGCCGCGGAAGGCGGCCACCTGGAGGTGCTGCGGTGGGCGCGAGATAACGGCGCTCCGTGGGACGAGGACACTTGCGCCTACGCCGCGGAAGGCGGCCACATGGAGGTACTCCAGTGGGCGCGCGCGAACGGCGCTCCTTGGGACGAGGAGACTTGCCGCCATGCCGCGGAAGGCGGCCACCTGGAGGTGCTCCAGTGGGCGCGAGCGAACGGCGCTCCGTGGGACGAGTGGACTTGCACCGATGCCGCGCTAGGCGGCCACCTGGAGGTGCTGCAGTGGGCGCGCGCGAATGGATGTCCGTGGGACGAGATGATTTGCACTCTTGCCGCGGAAGGTGGCCACCTGGAGATGCTCCAGTGGGCGCGCGCGAACGGCGCACCGTGGAATCCGGAGGACTGCAAAGCTCGAGCGCGGTACCGCGGGCACGAGGGTGTGGTGCAGTGGATAGTAGCTGCAGAGGTAGGAGAGGAGGCGTAGTCGCGAGCGGGCGGTGCGCGGCGTGGCGCTGCGTTTGTTTTTCCTCGCCCCGCCACGCTCTGCCGGCGGCGGCGCGGCGGGTGCGTGTGTTCGAGTAGCTCTAGTAGTAGACCGTGTCGTGGCGATGCGCTTCGCGTCCCTCGCTCGCTCCTCCGCGACCGCGCCGGTCTCAAACCTTCGTTCTCTCCCGCGCGTCGTCGTTCGTTCGGTTCTGTCGTCAGGTGATGCGGAGGAGGCGAACGATCGGAACCTGCCGGGGAGCTTCTCGCGTGGGTTCGACTAGCCGATGTTCGCGGACAGCAACGTCACGGGGGAGGTGTTCAACGTGGAGTGGAAGGACGCGACGGAGTGGACCGTGTGACCGATCGATCGATACTTCAACGCAACCTTAATTTACACGTTCGTACACGCGTCTACGCACACGTCTATACAGTCGGTCGCGACGTCCCGTCACCGAAGCTCGCAGTGCAGCCGCATCGTCGATTTCCCCGCGAGCGCGTGCGCGGCGCGGCACTCGTCCAAGTCCGCGTCCCCCGCGAGGACGCACGTCTCGTCGCTCTCGTCCGCGTACTTGAACCGAAGCACGCGCTTCCCGTCGTCGAGCGAGTCCTCGATCCGAGACGCGACGTCTTCGAACGTCGTCGCGCTCGGCGGCAGCGTGAACCTGACGACGTCCCGCCCCACCGACGCCTTCACCGTGAACGTCGTCTCGTGTGCGCCGACCGCGAACGCCGCGGACGCCCAGCTCCCGCCGAGTCCTCTGACCCGTCCCCGTCGACGCGCGTCGCCCGGGGTCGAGGCGAAGGCGAAGGCGCCGCCGCCGCCGGCGGCGGCGGCGCCCCGGTCGCCGTCGAGCTTGAGGTGGACGTGCGACGCGCGCGGCGACGCGTCCGGCGCCGCGCCGCGTCTGGTCGCGAGAGACACCGCCTCCCTCAGGTCGCCGTCGCCGACGAGGACGCACCAGTCGCCCTCGTCGTCCTCGTACGTCAGCCGCGTCGTCTTCGCGTCGAGAGACGACGCGGTCGCGGTCGCGGTTTCGCCGTCTCGGGGCGCTTTACGCGCGCCCTGGAGGGATATCTCCGCGCGGGAGACGACGTCCGAAAGCGTGAACTCGTCCGCGAGCATTCGGAATCGAAGGACGTCGCCCGAGTCGAGGTGAAGCTTGAAGACGACGCCGCCGCCGCCGGCGTCGGCGCCGAAACCCATCTGCGCGCTCTTGTTGGATCGATCGCTGTGCTGCGACGGCTCGCCGCGAGAGGGGCTCTTCCGGTCCGCGACCGCCACCGCGCCCGACCCGTCTCTCCGGTCGAGGAAATCGATCGGGGCGTCGAAATCCTCCCCGCCGTCGCCGTCGCCGTCGCCGTCGCCGCGCGTTCCGCCCGCGTCGACGAATCCCTTCACCATCAGGGCCGTTCTATACAAGCGAATGGCGGGGTGGAGTTCAAAGGCGTCAGATGGCGTTGAAAGGCGTCGAGGGCGGGGATTGAAAGCGTGGGGTGGGCGGAGAGAGACGCCGGGCAAAGTCCTTAAGGATCGGCGTTCACAACGCGAACGCGGTCGTATGGGGACCAGTGTATAGAACGCACCTCATCTCGTCCGCGGACAACGTCTCTTCGTCCGAGTCGTCGGGAAGGTTCGCGAAAGAGACGCCGCCCGTCGCGGCGAGCGCGGCCGGTCTCGAGAGATGGGCGAACGACGACGCTCGTCCTCCCTCGTCGCCCCCGACCTTGGCCTTGGGGTGGGACGGCGCGCCCCACGCGTCGACGCCCGCGAACTGTGTGTCCGACATTCGCGTGCGCTTGAACCCGGCGAACGCGGGCGCGGGCGCCGCGCCGTCCGCGCTCGGCCCGAGCCGCGACCGATCGTACTGGCGCTCGTCGTCGCGTTCGCGTTCGCGTTCGCGCCGCACGGCGACCTCGGCGCGCGGCGACGTGGCGCCCACGCGGATCCACTTCCGCGTCGAATCGCGCGCGCTCGGGTCGTCCTCGGGGGTTCGGTCGAGCGGCCGCCCGGGGATCATCGCGAATCCGCGCGCGCACACGTTCACCCCGTGGAACGCTCCGTCGATGGTCACGCCGACGCGTCCGTCCGGCGACGCCGTGGCCGCGCCCTCGCTCCGCAGCGTCTCGAGCGCCTCCTGAAGCTTCTCTCGCTTGCATTTCAGCGTCCGTCGCGGCCACTTGGCGATCCCGAAGTGTCGACACGTCCGCTTCAGCGTCGTCATCCCGACGCCCAGATCCCGCGCCGCGTCTTTGAGGTTCTTGTCGAAGTGACGCTCGAGCATCTGGAGCGTGATGCCGCTCGGAGGCGGGCTCATCGTGTTGTCCTCGCGGCCGGGTAGGTTCGGATCCGCGGGCATCGCGCGCGACGTTCGCGGCCGCGTCGGCGAGGCTGCGCGCGCGCGAGGAGATGACCGACGGGTAACTAACTTTTTCCGGCGAAGATCTCGAAAAGTGCATGGTATCGAAACCCTCGACCGACCCTTGAGCCGAATCGTACTACTTTCAACTCGTACTCCGTATGAGCAATCAGTTCGCGTCGCCTCGGTCGCGGAAGCGACGCCCCCTCGCGCCCCTTCACGACACCGTCAGCAGCTGCACTCTGGTGTGTCGGAGCAGCCGAGACCGTTGTCGTCGCCGCGGTGCTCACCACGGTACTCTCATTCCTCCCCTCCGTCGCCCCCGTCCGCGTCGCCGGCGAGGTCGAATGCGCGCGGCGACGCTCGCGCGCGGCGGGCGACACCTCGCGGCGTCGCTGGAACGCGCGTGGGGCCGCGCGCGATGCGTCGCGCTCGCGGCGTCGTTCGCCTCGCGCGACGCCGCGTCCGCGGGCGCGCGCCCCGCGCGCGCGGCGGATCCCGCGCCCGCCGCGGCGGAGCGAGGCGCCGCCGCGTCCCCGAGCGCCGCGGTTCGACGCGCGCGGACCCAGGCGTCGGCCGCGCCGGAGCGCGACGCCCGCGCGGAGGACGACGTCGTCGCGACCGCCGTCGCGGACGCGGCGCGAGCCGCCGCCGCCGCGCGCGCGTCCGCGTCCGCGTCAAAAGTCGCACCGATGCTCCTCGACACCCACGGGCGCGCGCACACGTACCTCAGAATATCGCTCACGGAGCGATGCAACCTCCGATGTCTGTACTGCATGCCCGAGGACGGCGTCGAGCTCGCGCCGAGGTCGGCGCTCCTCACGTCCGAGGAGATCGTCCGGCTCGCGCGCCTGTTCGTGCGCGCGGGCGTGACGAAGATTCGCCTCACCGGCGGCGAGCCGACGATTCGCGCGGACCTGGAAGACATCGTCTCCGCGCTGAGCGACCTGCGCGCGGACGGTCTCGAGGACGTCGCGATGACGACGAATGGCATCGCGACGCACCGCCGGCTCGGCGCGCTGAGGCGCGCGGGGCTGACGCGCGTGAACGTGTCGCTGGACACGCTCGACGACGCCAAGGCGCGTCGTATCATCGATCGCACCGGTCCCCGTACGACGGCGTTCGCGATGTGAACGTCGATCCCTTAAGAAGGACGTTTCCCGCGCGCGATGTGTTTCTCTCCGCCCGCGGTCCCTCGCGTTCAATCTCGACGCACACGCCTCGATCGACACCCGCCTTTCGACTCCGCTTCTGACGCCTTTCCACGCCACCCCGACGTCGCTTCTTCGAACGATGGAACGCCCCTCAGTTCGCCACGCTGACGCGGCGACCGGGCGGCTTGCGTCACGTCCGTCGGTCGATCGCGAGGGCGCTGGAGTTGGGGTTCGACCCGGTGAAGGTGAACGTCGTGCTCATGCGCGGCGTGAACGACGACGAGATGTTAGATTTCGTGGCGTTGACGCGCGACGACGCGATCAACGTGCGCTTCATCGAGTACATGCCGTTCGACGGGAACCGCTGGGAGACGAATAAGGTGGTGTCGTACGCGGAGGCCAAGGCGAGGATCGAGGCGGCGCACCCGAGCGTGAGACGACGCGCGAGCGACCTCGGGGACCCGAGCGAGGTGGCGAAGAATTTCACGATCGACGGCCACGCCGGCGCGGTGAGCTTCGTGACGTCGATGACGGACCACTTTTGCGGCGGGTGCAACCGTTTGCGAGTGATGGCGGACGGCAACTTGAAGGTGTGCCTGTTCGGTAACGCGGAGGTGAGCTTGAGGGACGCCATGCGCGCGGGCGCGAGCGAGGAGGAGCTGGAAGATATCGTCCGCGCGGCGGTGCGACGGAAGAAGGCGACGCACGCGGGGATGAGCAATCTTGCGAGCATGGAGAACCGATCGATGATTAAGATTGGCGGGTGAGGCGCGTCGAGACGTCGCGTCGAGTCCGTCCGTCGCGGAAGGGTACCCTTAGGATCGTGAATAACACAGCGGGAGAGGGGCTAAACTACGCGCGGTGCGGCGGTTTTTTCATCGTCGCGTCGCGTTCGTCCCAAAAGAATAATAGCCCTATAATACGTAGGCTCTTCGCGCGACCGACGCGAACGCATCACCTCGCCGCGGGTTCGGGCGCGGCGGCGACGACGCGGGCGGCGGCCGCCGCGACGTTGCCGCCGTACGAGTAGGCGCGCCAGTGTAACCCCGCGACGAACACCGCGGCGGCGAAGACGTTCCCTAACGTCACCGGAACGATGTTGTTCATCATCATCTGCGCGATGGTGACGTCCGCGCCGCACAACATTCCGTGAGGGATCAGGAACATGTTCGCGATCGAGTGTTCGAAGCCCAACGCGACGAACGCGGTGATGGGCCAGAAGATGGCGAGAATTTTTCCCGCCGTCGACGTCGACGCCATCGTTCCCCACACCGCTAAACACACGAGCCAGTTGCAGAGAACGCCTTTGAAGAACGAGACGGCGAACGGAAGCGTCGCTTTCATCGTCGCGATGCCTATCACCGCCGCTTTCGCCGCGGGCGCCGCCGCGGTGCACGCCCAAAACGCGAGAAACGCGAGCGCCACCGACCCGACGAAATTTCCGACGTACGACAGCGTCCAGTTCCTCGCGAGCGACGCCGCGTCCACCTTCCCGGCGAGCACCCCGGACGTCATCGTCATCACGTTCCCGGTGAAGAGCTCCGCGCCGGTGAGTATCACGAGCGTGAGCCCCGCGGGAAGGCCGACGGCGCCCTTGAGGAAGTTACACAGGCCCGGGTTCGACGCCGCGAGCGCCGGGGACGCGCCGCCGACGCACGACATGAGGAGCGCGCCCATGCCGATGAGCGCGCCCGCGGAGAAGCCGAGGAGCAGCGTCGTCGCGGGATCTTGCGCCGCCTTCTTCTCCGCGGCCGCGACGACGGTCTGTTGTTGTGACGCGCGTTGTGTGCGTTTCGAAGCGAACGGGAATTTGGGCGGGTTGGTTCGGTCAGACGCGAGGGAGAGGGAGGGTGGGAGATCGGCTCGGATCGGCGCCTTCTCGCGGAGCGCGCGACGCGGCGCGTCCAGTCGTCCGCGAGAGCGGGCTCGACGAGGGAGGGGACGAAGGAGGGGAGACGCACGTCGAACACCGCGGTGGGGGGCAGCGCGTCTCCCGCGGGCGCCGCGGCCGCGACCGCGGTGGGCCGCGCGCTCGCGGTCGAGCGCGACGATGGGGCGACGACGACGACGCCTCGGGACGCGCGATGGTGACGTCGGGACGCTCGCGCGAGGACGACCGCGCGCGCGGAGGACGCGCGGACGGCGACGTCGCGCGGTGCGGTCACGAGCGTCGCGGAAAACGTTGCGGCGGCCATCGAGCGCGCGCGGGTGCGGCGGGTTCTCCGCGCGAACCGTCGCGGCGCGAGTCCTTTCTGTTCGCGACGAGTCGCGCGCGGTCGGTCTCGACAGCGACAGCTCGCGACTGGACCTTCCAACCACGACGTCATACGGAAACGTTTTTTGGCAATTCATTTTATGATTCTTCACATGATTTCCGGTCAGGAATTCGCGGCGTGATTTAAAAATAAGGTTTATTCTTTATTTTATTTCAACTCGCGCGCGGTGAGTCGCCTCTTCAGAATTCGAAGCGTCGCCTCCGTCGCTGTCGTTTCGCAGAGTCGCGGACCGCGACGAAACGTCCGAGACGTTTTATTATCAGTGAATTTACGCGTAGTTGTAGTTTCGTACGGAGCGCAGTTTGGCTTTTTAATCATTTAAATTCCGCTCGGACGCGCATTCGGTCACGCGCGCGGCGGATTTTATCGGCGCGTCGCCGCGAGGCGCGAGTCTCTGCTTGAACTCGCGACTCTCGCGACTCTCGCGTCGGAAGAAAGTCCGACAGAACGCGCGCCACACACACACACACACACGCCGCGCCGTTCGCACACGCCGGCGAGGATGCAGTCGATCCCCGCGCATTCGCTCCTACCCGCGGGAAACCCCGCGAACGTCACCGCGCAGGCGCGTCGCGTCGACGACCCTCGTCCCCGTCGCCCCCGCGCGTCGCGTCGTCGTCGATCTCATCGTCTCGCCTCCGCCGTCCCGCGTCCCTCCTCGCAGGTCGCCGTCCGCGCGCCCTCCCCGGCCGCGCCTCCGCCGAACACGATGTCGCCTCTGACCACGGGCGCGGGCGTCGCCGTCGCGGGCGTCCTCGCGGGAACGATGGCGGCGCGCAGGGTCAGGGCGAGCGCCGTCGCGGAGCCGCGAGGGTCGGATCGCGTCGCGATGCCGGGCCCCGCGTCGAAGGACGAGCTCGCCGCGTTCAACGAGGAGACGATGGCGAAGTACGGCCTCCCCGAGATCGTGAGAGAAGACGCGCACGTGATGAAAGACGCGGACGGGTACTACGTCGTGAAGGAAGCGTTCCAAAAGCCGACGAACCCGTTCGAGCGCCTGAAGCTCGCGAAAGATCCGATGAAGGAGACGATCCACATGGCCGGCTTGGAAGCCGCCGCCGCCGCGTCCGCCGCGGACTTCGCCGCCTGGGACGAAGCGATGAACGACCCGGACGAGGTCGATCAGCGCTACAAGTGGGCGGGTCTGTTCCACCGACGGAAAAACCACTACGGCAGGTACATGATGCGCATGAAGATCCCGAACGGCGTCGTGTCCGCCGCGCAAGTGCGCCACCTCGCGCGCGTGGTGGCGTCGTGCGGCGAGGACGGCTGCGCGGACATCACGACGCGGCAAAACTTTCAACTCCGCGGGCTGCAGCTCAAGGACGCGCCGGAGGTGCTCAAAGGCTGCGCGGACGTCGGTCTGTGCTCGCTGCAGAGCGGTCTGGACAACGTGCGGAACGCGACGGGGAACCCTCTCGCGGGGTTCGATCCGCACGAGATCGTGGACACGCGGCCCATCACTCGCGCGCTTCAAGATTATGTCACCGGCGGCGGGCGAGGGAACGCGCTCATCGCGAACCTCCCGAGGAAGTGGAACGTCTGCGTCGTCGGCGGGCCGGACTTTTACGAGCACCCGGACATCAACGACCTCGCGTTCATTCCCGCGGTGAACGCGGAGGGCGTCTTCGGGTTCAACGCGCTCGTGGGCGGGTTCATCTCGGCGTCGAGAGCCGCGGAGGCGGTGCCCCTGAACGCGTGGGTCCCCGAGAGCGACGTCGTCGCGATGACGCACGCGGTGCTGACGACGTTTCGCGATTACGGGCACCGAGGGAACCGGCAGAAGTGCCGCATGATGTGGCTCGTGGAGGAGATGGGTCTGGAAAAGTTCAAAGCCGAGGTCAAGTCGCGGATGCCGGGCGAGAGGCTCGCGGACGCGGCGCCGAAAGATTTGATCGAGGACTCGCCGATCGAGCGGCGGTCGTACCTCGGCGTGCATCAGCAGAAGCAGGCTGGATTGAAATGGGTCGGCGCGTGCGTCCCCGGCGGGCGCCTGCAAGCCGAGGACTTGGAAGAGCTGGCGGACCTCGTGGAGACGTACGGCACCGGGGACGTTCGACTCACCGTGGAGCAGAATTTCATCATCCCGAACGTCCCGGAGGATAAAGTCGACGCCCTCCTCGAGGAACCGTTACTGAAGCGTTACACGCCGTTCCCGGGCAAGGTCGTCGCCGGGATGGTCGCGTGCACGGGACGACAGTTCTGCGGGTTCGCGCAGATCGAGACGAAGAAGGAGGCGTACGCCGTCGCGGAACACTTGGAGTCGACGTTGGACTTTCCAAACGGCGACCTGCGGATGATCTGGACCGGGTGCCCGAACTCGTGCGCGCCCGTGCAAGTTGCGGACATCGGTCTGATGGGATGCCAGATGAAGAACCCGACCGGGGAGAAGGGCATGGTCGACGGCGTGAATATCTTCCTCGGCGGCACCGTCGGCCCCGGCGGGCATCTGAAGGAACACCCGGAGATGGAGAAAGTCGCGTGCGCGGACCTCCCGCGCGTGCTGGAAGACATTTGCGTCGAACGCTTCGGCGCGATCCGCAAGGCGACGCCGACCGCGAACCCGGGCAACGCGTCGAGGTGGAAGATCAACAAGTCCGCGCAGTACACGAAGGGCACGCCGAAGGCGATGGGTAAAGCGACGCACATATGCACCGCGTGCGGGTACATCTACCAGGAGACCAAGCCGTTCGCGGAGCTGAGCGACGACTTCGTCTGTCCGGCGTGCTCCGCGGAGAAGTCTAAGTTCACCGCGATGAAAGAGACCTCCGACCCGGTGTCTTCGCGCCCAGTGAAGACGTATCCGCCCGGGACGCTCCTCGCGCTGCCCGGTCCCGGCGCCGCGGTGGCCCTGAAACTCATCTCGAAGACGGACGTCTCCGCGGACGCGCGCGTGCTTCGATTCGCGCTGCCGTCGGAGAAACACGTCCTCGGTCTTCCCGTGGGGCAGCACGTCCGCGTGTCGTTCGCGGACGCCGTCACCGGCGACGTCGTGACGCGACCGTACACGCCGATCACGTCCGACGACGACCTCGGGTTCGTGGACTTTTGCGTCAAGGTGTACGACCAGGGCGTGATGACGCGAAAGCTGGACGCGTTGAAACCGGGGGACGAGATGACGTTCGAGGGGCCCGTCGGCTCGGGTGCGTTCTGTTATCACACTGGTCCCCATACGACCGCGTCGGCGTGGTGAACGCCGATCCTTAAGGACTTTACTTCCCGGCGCATCTCTCCGCCCAGGGTCCCCCGGTTTCAATCCCGACACCCCTCGACGCCTTTCAACTCCGCCACTGACGCCTTTGAACGCCACCCCGATATCGTCGCTCGTATGGGACCCACCCTCGCCCCTCAGTGACGTACACCGACCGCGGCGAGTTCACCGTCGTCGACGCCGCGACGGGCGACGCGGAGGTGCGAAAGGACGTGACGCATCTCGGGATGATCGCCGGCGGGACCGGGATCACGCCGATGCTGCAGGTCATCCGACAGGTGTTCAAAGACGTCGGGGACACGACGCGGGTGTCGCTGATCTTCGCGAACAAGACGCCCGCGGACGTCCTCCTGAAGGCGGATCTGGACGAGCTCGCGGAGGCGCACGCAAATTTTTCCGTGCACTACGCCGTGGACGACCCCGGAGACGCCGCGGACGACTGGGACGGGTCCGTGGGGTTCGTGGACGCGAAGATGATCGACGCGCATCTGCCGAAGGCGAACGGAGGGAAGACGCAGGTGCTAATGTGCGGTCCGCCGGCGATGATGGAAAAGGCGGTGAGGCCCGCGTTGGAGAGCTTGGGGTTCGGGAAAGACGCGTACTTGGAGTTTTAATTAATTTTAAGCGGCGGCGCGCGGGCGGAATCCCGATATGTTTTTTGCGACGCGCGCGAGTGTTGAAATGAAAATGAATGAATGCATTGGATACTACAATATCAATAAATATCGCGCCAAAGACAGACGACCCACCGCGCGCGAGCCTCCGCCGCTTGAACGCGTTCGTTCGCGCGTCAACGTGCGTTCGCCGACGACCGGGAGCGAACAACACGCGCCGTGATGATTGATGTACAAGCCGCCTTAAGAAGAGAGTTCCCTCCCTCTCGATTCGTCGCGAACGCGCGTTCACTTGGACACGTACGGCGCGTACGTCGCCTGCTGCTTCCTCAGATCGACGGCGTACGTCACGCCGAGCGCGATGATGGAGATCACCGTGAGCGTGGCGTGCGTCCCGACGAGCGTGGCCGGGGTGTTGTCGTAGGACTTCGTCGTCAGCTTGCACGAGTTCGTGCTGGACTCGCCGTAGGACACGTAGCCCCCGCTGGCGTCGACGCCGATGACCTGGAAGTAGTACGTGCTCGCGGGGGTGTTGGTCGGGATCGTGATGGTCTTGCTGCCGTCCGCGGTCGCGATGCCGGAGTGCAGCGTTTTCGTCATCTCGGGGATCTGCCAGCACTGCTTGTTCTTGTCGACGGCGTCGACGTACTTCCTCCACGGCCGGTTCACGATCATGTCGTCGGTGTAGCACATCTTGATCGTGAGGCTCGCCTCGGAGTTGGACGTGAAGCCGGTCCAGGCGACGGTGATGGTGTCCGAGTGCGCGCCCGCGAGCTGCGTGGCGCCGCAGTCCGTCGATCCGGTCCCCGCGCCACCGACGTCGAGGGTGACGGTCGAGAGCTTGGTGAGCGCGGAGTATTTCGTCGCCGCGGAAGCGGAGTTCACGGCGAACGCGAGGAGCGCCGCGATGGCGAGGACGAACTTGTTCATCGTGAGGATGCTGGATGGAAACGACGCGGCGACGCGGGCGTTGCGCGCGGTGATTTCTGCGCGCGTTCACGTCGTTGAGACCGAGAACCGGCGAAAACTGCGCGAAAGGCCGCCCCCGCCGCGGTCACGAAAGGACGTTTCAAAGGTCGATTCAGCTGAAACGCCGCCTCTTGAGCGAAACGGCGACCGTACTGAAGCGACTGAGTTTTGGTTTTTTTTTGAATGCGACGAAAAACTGACTGTTTGCCTGTGTGCGCCTTTTCACCACTTTTCGAGATGGCGAAATTTCCCGAGAAGACGCCTCGCGCGGTCCTCTCGGAAGCGCCATCACTCTTTCTCGCGCGCTGCGACGCACCGCACGCCGAAGGAAACATGCCGAAACTCACCGGCCTCCCCGAGCCGACGTTCACGATCCCCGTGGACAGGTGCGCGCCGCATCCCCCGCGCGTTTCCGATCCCTCGCGCGACGCGCGCCGAGCGCGTCGCGCGGCTCCGAGAACGTCGCGATCCGGGGTGCTCGCGAGACGACGCCCGCGCGGTTCGTCGCCGCGCGCGTCCTCTTCCTCCCGCCGATCCTCCCCGTGAACGACCGCGTGCTCACTCCCGAGGTCGTCGTCCGCTCCCTTCCCTTCGCAGCGAGCACAAGGCGAAATCCTTGAACATCTTCTCCTTCAACCACCCGCATCATGCGTCCTTCCACATGTCGTGGTTGGGATTCTTCGTCTCGTTCGTCTCCACGTTCGCGGCGGCGCCGCTGGCGGCGATCATCCGCGACGACCTCGGGATGACGAAACCTGACCTCGGCACCGCGGGCCTCGCCGCGGTCACGGGCACGATCGGCGCTCGAGTCATCATGGGCTCCGTCTGCGATGCCGTCGGCCCCCGGTACGGCCTCGCCATCGTACTCATGGTCACCGCGCCGTTCTGCTTTTGCATGAGCTTCGTGCAAACCGCGGCCGGGTTCCTCGTCTGCCGCCTCGGCATCGGGTTAGGCCTCGCGACGTTCGTCGCGTGCCAGTTCTGGATGTCCTGCATGTTCAACGGCAAGTGCGTCGGCATCGCGAACGCGACCGCCGCGGGCTGGGGCAACCTCGGCGGCGGCGTCACGCAATTCATGATGCCGGTCATCTACCTCGGCATGCTCGCCGGCACCGAAGGCCGGACGTTCACCGCGTGGAGGTGGGCGTACATCGTCCCCGGTCTCTTGCACACGCTCGTGGGAATGGCCGTGATGTGGTTCGGTCAAGACCTCCCGGACGGGCAGTACAAGTTCCTCCACGACTCCGGTCAGATCGAGAAGAAGGACCCGTTCAAGGTGCAGCTCCTCGGCGCGAAAAACTACCGCATGTGGTGCATGGTCGCGACGTACGGCTTCTGCTTCGGCGTCGAGCTCACGATGAACAACATCGTCGCCGGGTACCTTTTTGATCAGTTCGAACTCTCCCTCACCACCGCGGGCACGCTCGCGTCGTGCTACGGCCTCATGAACCTCTTCGCGCGCTCTCTCGGCGGGTTCGCGTCCGACCAGGCGTCCAAACGCTTCGGCATGCGCGGCCGTCTCTGGTGTCTCTGGTTGATCCAAACCTTCGAGGGATTCCTCTGCATCATGATGGCCCTCGCGAAGGACAGCCTCGGCTTGACCATCTTCTGGATGGTCTGTTTCTCCATCTCCGTCCAAGCCGCGGAGGGCGCGTCCTACGGCGTCGTGCCTTTCATCACTCGCAGGGCGCTCGGCGTCGCGTCCGGATACATCGGCGCCGGCGGGAACGCCGGCTCGACGATCTGCATGGCGCTGTTCTTCACGTCCGCGAGCATCGAAACGTACGATGGCATCATGTACATGGGCATCGCGATCATTTGCGTCACTTTACTCGTCATCCCGATTCACTTCCCGATGTGGGGCTCCATGTTCTTCCCCGGAAATCCGAACATCTCGGAGGAGGATTACTACATCAAGAACGACTTCACCGAGGAGGAAATCAAAGAAGGCCTCGCGGTCCCGGTGCAGAAGTTCTGCGACAACTGCCACAACGAGCGCCCGCGCAGGTACCGCGATGACGTGGTGTCCGCGACGGCGACGAAGGTGTAAATGCGGACGGGCCAAACCTGCCGGTTTGCTAGATTCGGTTGACGATTCTTTCGACGATTCTTTCGACGACTTCCGCGGAGACGCGGCGGCGAATAAAAAATAAAACGCGCGCGCGCGAGCGGAGACTTGCGACGCGCTCACCATTTGCCCACTGTAGAGTTGATTTTTTATTGTACATTAAGCGCTCACGTCATGTGTTCACTACGCCGCGCACGTCGCCGCGCCTCGTGTGTACTTCGAGCGCGCGCGCGAGTGACAGACAGTTTCACGAGCGATGTACTATTGATATTTCCGTCAGGTACTTTGTATAAGAATAGTGCACTTTTGTTCCTCTCTGGGCCTTCGTAGCTACTAGTACCGAACGATGTCCTCCGCCGCGTATCCGAGCTCCTTCAGAGCGGGAATCGCCGTGTCCTCCTCCATCGACGGCGGCCCGCACAGAAGCGCCACCGTCCTCAGCGCCCCACTCTCGTCCGCGGCGAAGCAGTGCTCCTTGATCATGGCTTTGTTTACGCGCCCCGTCAACCCCGTCCACGCCGTCGTCTCCGCCTTTGAAATCGTGTACGCGATTTCGAAACGATCGGGGTGCTCGCGGCGCAGCCGGTCGAGCGTGTACCGCAGGAGAATGTCCTTCTCGGACTTGTTCCCGAATAAAAACTTAATCTTCGTCTCGTCGTCTGGGTTCGAGAGCACCGCGATGATCATCTGGAGCATCGGCGCGACGCCGGTGCCGCCGCCGATCATCGTCATTCGGTCCACTTTGATCGTCGTCTTGTCCACCGTGAGCATCCCGCGCCCGTGGTACTGAATGTGCCCCATCGGCCCTTTCACCTCCACGAAGTCCCCCACGTTGACGCTGTTCAGGTACCGCGTCAACTGCCCGCCCTCTGGGAACATCGGGTTGTCGTTCGGGAAGTAAATCTTGATCACGAACTCCACGGCGCCGAGCGTGCCGTTGAGCGAACTCGGCGTGTACGCGCGCATGACTTTTTTCCCGGTGGCGGGCGAGACGCCTCGCAAGTACAGATGATACCCCACGGGGAGACCGCACTGGTGCATCGGCGTCTCGAGCGCGAGGCGCAGTAAGATCGTATCGTGCGACAGCGGCACCTTCGCGTCGCAGCGGAGCTGAAGCCACTTTTTCGGATCGAGCGCGCGCGGGGCGTCGCCCGCGTCGTTCCGCGCGCCCGCCCACATGCGGTCGAAGGCCGCCGCCTCCGCGGCCTCGCCGACCAGCGTCCCCTCGCCGTACATCTCCGGGTTCGCGAGCGCGAACTGGAGAAGGTTCACCGGTCCTGCGACCGGCGGCGGCGTAGAAGGCGGCGGCGGCTTCGCGACGACGGCGGGATCCGACGCCGGAGCGATCGTGACGTCCGCGATCGTGGCGTCGGGGTTGTCCGCGGGGTCCAGGTACCCGATCAAAAACGGGTCGAGCTGTTTCCACGCTTTCGCGCTGTGCACCGCCTCGAAGTCTTCCGTGCTGTCCGTGCCCGCGTTCATGACGATGCTCGCGTTCCCGCCGGGGTGCGCGCCGCTCGCGATGTACGCCGTGCAGTCGTACACCTTATCCTTCACGAGAATCCACGCGTCGTCCTCCGAGTCGTGTTTCTCGATGGGGATCCTCAGAGTCGACCG